CTAACACCGCTTCCTTTTGAATAATCCGTATTGCGTTGATGTCTAATTAGTTTGTGGGTTGATGTTTGTGTGCGTGTGTCGTGTTGGCATTTGTTGTGTCCCTCTGTTGTGTCGGTCGTGGGGCAGGCTCTGTTCCATCGCTTCCTGGTCCCGTTCTTTCCGTTCAAGGGTGTATTCCCCAAGCTCAACGATGGTATTTGACCCTTATCGCCATCATTGCATTCCCCAACCTTCATTCAACACACAATAACAACACATGATAAAACGACAATGTACTAATAATAATTGATGTTTGTGCAATTTTAATAATAACAGCAGCCAAACTGGTGCCATCGAGTGAAGCGCTGCGCGAAGAGGCGGCCGAACTGGTGGCCGTCAAGGAGGAATTGGACCACCAGGAGCGGGCCGAGTCACGGCTCAGCCCGAACAAGGGCCGGGAACGCGAAAGCCAGCAGCAGGGCACCAGCAACATGGAGATCGAGCTCCGCGAGCGACACCTCGCCGAGCGGGAACGCGCCGCCGAGGCGGCGCGACGGCGAGCCGACCAGCACCACGCGCAGCTCGAGGAGGAGAAGCGCCAGATCGAGGCGCGGCGCGAGCAGGTCGACAAGGATCAGGTGCTTGTCGATAGCGCGCGTCGGGGCATCTTCACCGAGCGCGAGCGGCTGCGTGTGGAGAAGCGCGGGCTCGAGAGTCTGCGCAAGACCAACGAGGCCGAAGGCCGGCGGCTGGCCGAGGCCCTGGCGACGCTGGAACTTGAGCGCCAGGGCGTCCAGGAGCAGCGTGTGCGGCTGGCTCAGGAGGGCGAGAGCCTGGCCCGGGAGCGTGCGCGGGTCGACAGTGCGCGGAGCCAGGTCAAGGAGCGCGAGTCCCGGCTGGCCGCTGCCAAGAGCGAAGTCGAAAAGAGCGAAAGCGAAAACGAAGCCGAACGCGCGCGGCTGGCCGACACGCAGGCCGAGCTCGAGCGAAGCCTGGCGGCGTTCGATGAAGAGCTGCGCACCGAGCGCGACCGGATCCAGCGCGAGAGCGACGAGGTCGAGCGCGCGCAGGCCCAGCTCGAGGCCGCCCGACAGCGGCTCGACGAGGAGCGCGACAAGCTGGTCAAGGAGCGCACGGCCGTCAACCGGGCGTGGACAGTCATCAAGGATAAGGAGGTGAAGCTCGCCGAGCTGACGAGGCAAGTCGAGAAGAGCGAAAACGAAAACGAAGCTGAACGTGCGCGGCTGGCCGAGCTGCAGGCCGAGCTCGAGCGAGACCGTGCGGCGTTCGACGAGGAGCGGCGCGCCGAGCGCGAGCGACTGCGGGCGGAGAGCGAAGATGCCAAGCGCAGGCGGACTCAGCTGGCAAGCGAGGCGGCGCGGATCGCCAAGCGAAAGAACGAAGCCGACGAACGCGAAAGAGCGAACGACGACAAGCGAATGCGACTGGACGAGGCGCGGGCGGAGCTTGAACAGAGTCGAGCGGCGTTCGAGACCGAACAGCGCGCCGAGCGCGAGCGGCTCGCAGCTGAGCGCGAGGAGGTCGTGCAGGCCAAGGCTGCGCTCAAGGCCAGGCGGAAGCGCGTGGCTGAGGAGAGCGCGCGGGTGACGTGCGAGCGGATTGAAGCGGAGGCGACACGGACCGAGGTCGCGGAAGAGAAGACCCGGCTGGCAAAAGCAAAGAGCGAAGCTGAAAAGATCGAAAGGGAGAACGAAGACGAACGCGCTCGGCTGGCCCGGGAGCGGTCGGAGTTGGACGCGGAGCGACGCGACTTTGACCAGCGCCAGCACGACGCGCGCGAGCTGGCCGAGCGCAACCGGGCTGAGCTCGACGCCGCACGACAGCGGCACAGCGACGAGGTCGCCCAATGGAAGGCCGCGTCAGTGGCCCACCCGCGCCGGCGGCAACAACAGCTCACGGGCAGCGGCGACGGCCACCAGCAACCGCTGGCGCTTCTGCACCAGAGCGAGGGCCAGACGTCGTCGCCGCTGTCGCCATCGTCGCCGTGGTCCTCGCCCTCGCCCGCGCTCATCCACCGGCACCACCAGTCGCACAGACAGTCGCCGCTCGCCGCGCTGGTCACCCCGTCCGGGCGCTTCGTGCCCGTCGCGTCGGCGTCCACGCTGCGGCCATTCTCGTCGACCGCCGTGGTCACGTCATCATCGTCGTCCTCATCATCGTCATCGTCTCGCACCTCGTCGCCGTCGGTGTCGCCCCGGCCGACTCACGCACTCCTCCGTGCGTCGACACCTGTCGCTGCGCCTGCTTCGGTGTCGACAGCGTCGACGGGCCTTGATGACGACGAAGACGACATCCTTCTGATCGAGGGGGAGCGATCGGTCGACGACGGTGATGGAGCCAACAAACGGAAAAAAGGGGCCTCCGCACGCGCCTCGGCCGCGCAGCAGGCGAGGAAGAGGCGGCGACGGGTCGACTCGACGTTGGGCGCCGGAGAGGAGGAGGCGGGCCTGACCGAAGACGGCCACAGCGGCGAGGAGGACAGCGTGTCCGATCTGGAAAAGCCCAGCGAGGCGAACAACGTCAACGGTGGTGGTGATGGAGATGGAGATGGTGATGGAGATGAGCCGGAGGAGGAGCCGATCGTATCGTCGCCCAAGCGGCCTGGTCGCCGCAAGCCGGTCGCGCGCCGACGACGGCCACCGACCACGCGAGCGCATACCCCCGCACCAGCGCGTACGTAAACGTACGACCAATACACTTACAAAGATTTACAAATTTCGTTCTGAGAGGTGGTGGGGCAGCGGTTGGTGTGTGCGACTTGAGGCCGACGAACCGGCACAGTCAGTCAGGCACTCAACCATCGGGCGAGAAGGTTGTAAATTGTCTTCATCATCGGGCCCGCGGGCATCTGGGATGACGTGACATCGACTTGGAAATGACTAGATCCCGCGTGGCCCCCGCACCACAGTAGTTCCCAACTGAGCACTGTTCACAACAGATCTCGTCTCCGCCAATGGGAACGATAAGGTGTTGGAAAGCCGCCAATTGGGCGTAGTCAACGTTGGCGGAGTGTGAACACGCGGCCTTTAGGAAAACACGACGTTCGTCCGGAGAATCGGACTATGACCAATATCTGCTATCGCGCAACCAACGCCACACACACACACAAACGCCCACAGGCACAGACACACCTCGCACAGGTGTGGATCCGCGGCTGAGCCGGCACCACACATCAAGGTACGCAGACATAGCTTTCCACCGGTCTATGTGCCGTGTAGTCACCACCGATATCGCCCACACATTAAAAACAGATGGAGGCTCGTTCGTGCGTCATGCTCGCATTCCTGCTGGTCGCGGTCCTCTGCAGCGCCCAAGGTACCAGTGCCGCTTTTCGTTCTTCTTCTTCTTCTTTCTTTCTTTTGCTTCGTCACCCCAACGGCTCAGCGGCCAAGATGGCGAACCTTAGTTGGCCGGTCCGTGCAGCCAACAAAAACAAGCGCCTCCTATTTGTCAACATTCTGCCGGTAATTTGCCGGGCCGCCACCTGACCGACCCCGATAACCAACCAATCCACACAGGATTCAATCTCACGCTGGTCCACACGGCCGACACCTACTCAGCCCTGAGCGCCGTCGACGCCTCGTCGACGTCGTGCCAGCCCGTCAACGGTTCCTATATAACCACCGGCGGCCAGCTGGCCTGCTACGGCGGCGTGGCGCGCATGAAGGCCGTCATCGACCAGCAGCGCGCGCGATCGGACACAAACGTGTTCGTCGTAGACGCCGGCAACATCATCGCCACCTCGCTCTACTACTACGTCGCCGGGCCTTCGCTCGTCGCCTCCTACTACGCCCAGCTCGGCTACGACCTCGTTCACCTCCAGGTATGCTTGTGCGGCGTGTGCTTGTTGCCTGTGTGCGGTGTGTGCGGTATGTGTGGAATGTGCGCTGTGCGCTGTGCGCTAACCCGAGTCCAGGTCCAGGACTTTGTGCTGCCTGTGGAGAACGTGGCTGAGTTCATGCGCGTGGCGCTGGCCGAGGCCCCGGCTCTGGGCTTCGTGGTGAGCAACCTCGAGGGCTACAACGAGGACCCGCGGGCCAACGGCACCTTCGTCGCGCGCTGGGCCTACAAGACCTTTGCCGGCGGCCAGCGCGTCGGTTACGCGGCAACGGTGGCGAGTAACCTGGCAACCATGGTCCGCACGCCATTGGCCATTCGGGCGAACGACGAGGCTGCCGCCTTGTCCGTCGCCGTCATGGCCCTCATCAACCAGGGAGCCAATAAGATCGTCGCCTCGGTCAGTTCCAATGCAACAGCCGAGGCCGTCCTTTCCGGCGTGCCCGGAATCGACGTGCTCATCGTGCCCACCCAGCTCCAGGCCAACGACCGCGGCACCGCCGCCGACGACGTCCGATCGGGCGCCGTCGGCCCCTATCCGATGGTCGTCGCCACCGCCTGGGAGCAGCCGGTGCTAGTCGTCGCGTCGGGCACCTACGGGCGGCTCATCGGCGTGCTCGATGTGGAGTTCGACGACTACGGCGTGGTGACCGGGTGGTCTGGCGACGCGCGGCTCATGGACGAGTCCGTGGCGGCCGACCCGGCGGTGCAGGCCCGGCTGCTGGCCAACTACGCCCAGCTCCAGGCCAACTTCTCGCAGACGGTCGGGTGGTCGGCCCTCGATCTGGGCTTCGAGACCAACTGCCTCTTCGCCGAGTGCGCCATCGCCGGGTGGATGGGCGACGCCGTGCGCGACTTTGCGGTGCGGGCCTGGGGCGGCGACGTGCAGATCGCGTTCAACAACGGCGGCTCGATACGCGGCACGTTCGCGCGCGGGGCGGTGACGCTGGGCCAGCAGCAGACCGCGTTCCCGTTCGGCTCCAACTCGGATCTCTATACGTACCAGCTCGCCGGGCGCTACGTTTGGGCTGCGCTGGAGAACGGGCTGTCGCTGGCGACGGACCCGTCGGCCGATGTCAACAACGGCGCGGGCCGGTTCATGCAGGTCTCTGGCCTGCGGTATTCGTGGAATCCGAGCGAGGAGGTGGGGTTCCGGGTGGTCGACGTCGAGGTGGAGGCGGCGCCGGGCGTGTGGGCGCGGCTCGATATGGACGCCGTCTACAACGTGTCATCGTTCGATTGGCTGGTAATCTACGGCGGCGACGACTACACCATGATTCGCGACAACTCGACGCGCCTGTTCAAGAACGGGGCCAACATGAACGCGGTGCTGCTCGACGCGTTGGCCCGCAACATCACCAGCGTCGAGACCGGGCGCATCACCGCCACATCGGCCACGCGCCGCGCGTGTCTGGCGCCCGACGGCTCCGTGTGCAGCGGCAACGGCGTGTGCGTGGGTGGTGCGTGCCAGTGCACGCTCGCAGGGACGTCGAGCGAGCTTCTGTGTGCGTCGACCAACGGCACGGCCGCCGCGTCGTCGGACTCGTCGAGCAAGACGCTGGCCATCGCGCTGGGCGTGTCGCTCCCCGTCGCGGCGCTTCTGGTGCTGCTCCTGGTCGTAGCGCTGGTGGTCGCGCGGCTGCGGCGCAGGCGCGAGCACAACAGCTGGGAGATCGACTTTGCCGAGCTGGAGATGGGGCCGCAGTTAGGCGCTGGCGGCTTCGGAGAGGTGCACCGAGCCGTGTGGAAGGGCACCGACGTGGCCGTCAAGGTCGTGTCGGCCCACAACACGAACAAGGCCGCGTGGGACAATTTCAAGCAGGTAACAGACATATTACATCAAACACATTTGATCCCAACATATGATGATTTACATGTTTATGCTTCATATCTAAACAGGAGGTGAGCGTGATGACGGCGTTGAGGCATCCCAACGTGGTGCTGTTCATGGCCGCCAGCACCAAGCCGCCCAAGATGTGCATCGTAATGGAGCTCATGGAACTTGGCTCCCTCTACGACGTATGTGTGTCTTGTCCTGTCCTGAGTGTCGTGCGTGTGGTGCTGCGTGTCGTGTCGTGTGCGTGTCGTCCTTGAGGCTGATGTCTGCATGTGGCTACAGTTGCTGCACAATGAGCTGGTGCCGGCGATCCCGCTGCAGCTGTGCCTCAAGATGGCCTACCAGGCGGCCAAGGGGATGCACTTCCTCCACTCGTCGGGCATCGTGCACCGCGACCTCAAGTCGCTCAACCTGCTCCTCGACAACAAGTGGAACCTGAAGGTGAGCGACTTCGGCCTCACCAAGTTCAAGGCCGACCTCAAGCGGGCCGGCGGCCACGACATCCAAGGTATGCCATACTTTTAGAACATTCCAGCACATTCCTTAGGTTACAACGTGACATGAAGATTAACGATAATTTATTTTAGGCACCATTCATTGGACGTCCCCCGAAGTGCTCGAAGATCGCATGGACGTCGACTACGTGCAAGCCGACGTACGTTCCATTCCGATCATCGTCACCGTCATCGAGCTCACCACACGACACAACACGACACACACACACGACACAACACGACACACACACACACACACACACGACACACACACACGACACACGACACATACAACTATGCAAAACAGGTGTACAGCTTCGGCATCATCATGTGGGAGCTGTTGACGCGCGAGCAGCCCTACGCGGGCGTGAGCACGGCCGCCATCGCCGTGGGCGTCATTCGTGACTCCCTGCGGCCGACCGACCTCCAGGCCTCCGACAGCGGCGCCCAGCGCCACGTCGAGTTCGAGGTCCTCATGGCCGAGTGCTGGCACGCCGACCCGAGCGTGCGCCCGTCGTTCCTCGAGGTCATGTCGCGCCTGTCCGCCATGTCCGAAGACATGACCGGCCACGACATCAACCACTCCTCCATGACCACCAGCGGCTCGTCGTCGTCAACGTACATGGGCCAGGGCAGTGCCTCGTTCTACAACACGGCCAAGCACTCGGCCAGCGCCGGTTCTACGGCCTCGTCGACGTCGTCGTCGCACATGTCGTCCAGGAGCGGCGGCTCGGCCAAGGCTGCGGCGGCGGTCGGAGGCCGTCATGGCCAACGCGGCGTGGGCCAGCCGCCGGCGCCGGCGGTGGACGGCCCGCTGACGGTGGTGTTCACCGACGTGGCCCAGGCCGCGCAGCTGTGGGAAGCCGAGCCGCAGGCCATGCGCGAGGCGGTCGCGATGCACAACGAGCTGCTGCGTCGGCTGATCAAGCAGCACCGCGGCTACGAGTCGGTGTTCCTCCATCGGCACAATACTGGCGCGGCCGGCGGCGAGGGCTACTTCTGCGTCGTGTTCGGGCGGCCGCTGGACGCGCTGCGCTGGTGCGATGAGGTGCAGCGCGAGCTGGTGACGCTCGAGTGGCCGCCGGCGCTGCTCGGGGTGCTCTACGCCCGCGAAGAGGTCGCCGGGGTGGCCGACGGCGTGCTGTTCCGCGGGCCGCGGGTGCGGATGGGCGCCCACCACGGGCCGATCTCGCGCACGCGCGACCCGGTCTCCAACCGCTTCGAGTACTTTGGCGCCGCGGTCAAGGTCGCCACCGAGCTCACCCTGCGCGCCGAGGGCGGCCACGTACTCGTCTCCGACGCGGTCATCTCCGCCGTCGAGTCCCTGAGTGAGCCGGTTACCAACGGCAACGGCGGTGATGATGACGTCACCCTCGACAAGGACCGGGCGCTGTACGGCCGGCATCGGTTCCAGCAGGTGGGCGCCGTGGAGGTGATGGTGGCCAACGGCGGGTCGATGCTCGAGGTCGAGGTGCACGACATGCGGCTCAGCGGGCTCGAGGACCGGTGCCAGGCCTGGGAGCAGGCCGAGTCCAGCAGCAACCACACGTCTGCGCGCAGCGGCACCACGACCCACACCGGCGGCTCGTCGACCACATCGTCGGGCGGTGGCGGCGGCTCGTCGCGGCCGCGATTGCTGGCGCGCCCCGACGAGGCGTCGTACATCGGCAGCTCGAACGCGTGCCGGTGGATCATACCGTTCGAGGACCTGGCGATCCAGGAGGCCCACGTGGGCCAGGGCAGCTACGGCTTCGTGTCGCAGGGCCGGTGGAAGGGCGTCGACGTGGCGGTGAAGCGGTTCGTCAAGCAGCGGCTCGACGAGGACACGATGCTGCGGTTCCGCGAGGAGGCCGCGCTGCTGGCCGAGCTGCGCCACCCGAACGTGGTGCTGTTCATCGGCGCGTGCGTGCGGTCGCCCAACATCTGCATCGTGACCGAGTGGATCCCCAAGGGCTCGCTGCGCGACGTGCTGGCCGACGGGTCGGTCAAGCTGTCGTGGGCCACGCGGCTCAACGTGGTCAAGGGCATCGCGCTCGGGCTCGCCTACCTCCACTCGCAGCAGCCGGCGCCGATTCTCCACCGCGACCTCAAGTCGTCCAACGTGCTGGTCGACGAGTCGTGGAATGCCAAGATCGCAGACTTTGGGCTGGCCCGTATGAAGCAGGAGAACGCGACGATGACCCGCTGCGGCACGCCGGCGTGGATCGCGCCCGAGGTGGTCATGCGCGAGCGCTACACGGAGAAGGCCGACCTGTACAGCCTGGGCATGGTCATGTGGGAGGTCGCCACCCGCAAGCTGCCCTTCGCCGGGGAGAACCTGGCCAAGACCGCGGTGGACATTGTCGAGGGCAAGCGGCCGCCGGTGCCGGCCAACGCGCCCAAGGCCTACGTGGCCTTGATGACGGCCTGCTGGCACCGCAAGCCCCACAAGCGACCCAGCGCCGAGCAGGTCTGCCGCGCCATCGAGAGCTGGCTGGACAACACCGCCTCGGGCGAGGTAAATCTGGTGTAGAACAAGCAAAATGGATCAAATAGAAATCCAAAATGTAAAATAGATATCTAATTCCAATTTCATTTATTGTGTAAAAGATAAATGGAGAAGCATGTGAGGGGGCAGGAGGAGAGTGGGTCGCGGGAGGCGTACCGGCGTGGTAAGTCGCCCAAGGCAGTAAAGGCCTTTTCAATCGTCAAGGAGTCAAGGTGCCTCCTGCTTGGCCAGCTACGAATTCATTCGATTGAATCAACAGAGATTTATGTACATGGCAGGCATGTGCTGGTCCAGAACGTGCCAGCGGTGGGCGTGCAGGAGGACCTCCTCGCGCTCTTCTCTGCTCATGGCCACGTTGAAGAGTACGTGCGCCTTTCTCTTACATCAGATGACCTTAGTGAAAGACTTTTCAAGTCGCAACTGAGACGCTCGATCGCTGCTCGCCTGCGCTCAGGTGCCGCGCCATCGGCGAAGAGGAGCTGCCACGTGAACAGTTCACCGAGGTCTACTTGATCACGTTTGCCCAGCTTTCCGACGCAAGGTCCTTCCAGTCTCGAGGTCTTGATGATCATCAGCCTGGTGCTCACCGCGCCACACGACACACGCCACCACACGCAGGCGAGCAAAGAGGAAGTGTGATGACCACAACTTTATGGGCGCTATCTTGCACGTGACCTACGCGCCCGAGTTCGAGACGCTCGAAGACACCCGCCGAAAGCTCGAACAGCGCCGCACCGAGGTCCTCACCCGAGTGCAAGGTACCGTGGCCGCTCTCGCGTAGCGTCGCGTTGCTGACTCGAGTGGTGCGTCGCTCGGCAGGAACGACGGGAGGAGCTCAGCACAGGGAGCCGCAGCGGCAGCCCAAGCGGCCGCTGCCGCCCACGACGACAATGACGACGACGACGGTCGCGACTGTTCCGCTGTCGACGGGGCACGACCGACGACACAAGCGGCCCCGGATGGCGGCCACACCGCCGCAGCCGACAAGTTCGGCTCAGAGCACGCTGCTCGCCATCCGCAACAAGCTCAGTTCCGTACGTCTTCTGCGTGCGTGCGTGCGGTGAGCCAAGGCTGACCTGATCGCCGGAAAACTGCAGACAAGCGAGGCATCAGCGACGAAGAAGACGAGAAGGAAGTGATCAGGTCAGGCCTGCATTGTCTTCACACAAGAAGACCTGACACGCATAGGTTTGTTGATTGTACGAACTGTGCAGTCAGACCACAGTCGTGCCGCTACTGCTGAGTGCGTCGGCATCGTCGTCGCCGTCGTTTGGTCGCTGCACGACGAGCGGGCACGAATTGCAGGCCACGGTGAGCTCCTGGCCGGGCGGGGCGGGTATGAGTGAGCCCCCGCAGCTGCCGCAGGTGATGCGTCGCAGGTGGGCCGCCACCGCAGGGCTATCGTCGGCGTCGGGCGCTCGGCAGCGCGCGCAGGTGCATCGGAACGCATAGCTTTCCTCCAGCTTGTCCTGCCGCAGCTCGCGCGTCAGGTCCAGATCGATGTACGAGATGGTCAGCTCCTGGCGCGACGAGGAGGAGGTGAGTGGTCGTGGTTGTCCACTCAGCAGCGATCTAGTGAGGCGGTGCGGCACCTCGCCTGGCGGCACGGCCACCAGCGTCTTGATGGCGCACACGCGCTTGCTTCCGGTGCCGTCATCGACCGCAGCGCAATTGGGCATGCCTGTCAAAACGTTAGCGCAGGCACGACACGATACGACACACACCACACACACACACCACACACACACACACACAACACGAGGTGAGCGTACATGAGTGGTTGAAGAGGGAGAGAGCGGGATAGAGGGCAACGCCTGTCATCTCGCCTTCGCCGTTGGAGAGCCCGAAGGCGTTGCACTGCTGGATGCACAGAAGCCGCACCACGTCGTCCTTGGTCACCTTCCTTGCACCGCGCGGCAGCGAAATCGACGCGGCCACCACCTCCGCCATTTGCTGTGCGCATTGTCAGTAGCTTCTCGACCAACCACCGCACACGCACCCCGTACAGCGCACACGCACACGCACGAGAAAGTAGAGAGACACACTTCGTACTGAGCCAAGCGAGTGGGCGAGAGGGCGTGCGTGTTGGGCTCGAGGGCGAAGGTGAGCGCACGCTGCCGTCGGTCGGGGTGGGTGAGCACGCCGATCACGAGTCGAGCGAACATGGTGGCCTCCTGCGACCCGAAGAGCGACGGCGCCAGCGTGCCCTTGCGCAGCCCGGTCGCCACGGCCGCATCGTAGCGTCGCATCGAGCGACAGCCAGCCCCGCCCCCTCCCAGGCCGTGGTATCTGTCTCCCTCTCGTTCGCACGACGACTTGTCCACCATCATCTTTTCCATCTTCTCTACAATCTCGCCATCTTCATTTTTGTAGAGCGTTGAATCTCCATCTCGATTTTCTGTAGATGGTGGCGGGCAGTACCAGGTGTGGGCGCACCCGCCTCGGCATCGTCGGGCGGTGGAGGGCAACAGGGCGCGGCCGCAGTGGGCGCACAATCGTTTGGTCTCGCGCGGCATGTAGGCCCACACGAACACTTCGCTCAACGCCACGGTCTCGCCCGCCTTCACTCCTTCACGCCGTGCTCGCACCAGCCTGCCCCGATCGTCGGCCCGCGCCACCTCCACGCTCGGCCCAAAGGCGAGCCCCTCGCCCGTCTCCAGATCACGACCGTCATCCTCTTCCATTCTTTTATGTATTTACATTTATTTACATTTATTTGCCTATTTGTCTTTTACTTTACATTCATTTTCCTTGCCTTCTTCGTTCTCTGGGTGTACAAAAGCCGTCAGTGGGAGAAGATGAAGATGAGGATGAATGCGTGAAATGGGGAAGTACCAGTGGGCGCCTCGCAGAGGTACACGATGCTTTCGCCCTCGTAGACCTCGTATTGCAGCTGGGGCAGATCGGAACTAAAGTGAGGCTTTCTTCATTTGAAGATGGAGAAGAAAGACCTACGCACCCAGCTATCGTCTTCTTGGGCGTTGGCATCGCCTTGTTGCGGCATGACGAACACTTGCCCAGACCATATAGAGCTGTTGCTGTTGGGGGCAGTGTTCTGGAAGGAGGTTGTGGGATAGCTCATGGTGTTGTGCTTGGTGGTTCTCGGTACTGCTATGTGCGTGAACTGGTTGCTGTAGCAGTTTGTTGCTGTGGATCTTTAACTGTAACCACCTTTGTGACCAAGCGCCCTCGAAGGTTTGAGCCTCTCGAGGGGGCCAAGCGAGCCTGGGCAGATTCACCAGGAAACCTGAAACCCAGAAAGAACGAAGAACGACCGAAGTTGTGGGAGTGCCAACACTTTAAGGTGCCTGCAGACGTCGCAGCAGCAACACCGCCACCTTAACAGAGGGCAGAAAAAGGCGGCTCACTGCTTGGTGCCGACGAAGACGTAGTAGGGGCACTTGAGGAGGGTGTAGGGCACGCTGCCGAGGTACTCCTCGACCACGTTGGGCTTGAAGCGGTACTGGAGGTAGGGCAGGTGGTCGCGCGACAGGTTGACGTTGTCGAAGGCGAAGAAGATGGGCCACACGGTGCGCTGGAACCAGGTGTTCTCGTGGAGACCCTCAGCCGCGGCGTACTTGCGGGCCACGTAGAAGTCGGTGATGCCCAGCACGCCGCCCTTCCTCAGAAGCGAGTAGGCGTGGTCCACCGCCGCGAACCAGTTCGGGATCATCGTCAGCGAGTAGCTGCAATCGCACGACACACACGACACACACGACACGAAAGTGTCAGAGATCTGAGACGAGTGGAGGTTGGAGGAGAGTGAAACAAACCTGAAGGTGACGAGGTCGACCTCCTCGCCGTTGGGAGGCGTCCAGGTGGTGGCGTCGGCTTCGACGATCTCGACGTTGGTCCAGCCGTTCTTCTTGACGCGCTCGGCGGCCTGCTTGAGCAGCGAGCCGGAGAGGTCGACCAGGTAGATCTTCTCGTAGCCCTCGATCTTGCCGGCCTCGGCCATCAGCTCCAGGTTGTAGCCTGTACCGGCGCCGAGGTCCACCCACACGGCTCCGCGCAGGTTCGGGAGCGAACCAAACAGCTGTGTGCCACAGACCTCGCGTGTGAGTGCCACCGCACACGCCGCACACACACCACCGCACACGCGACACGCTCAGCACACGCAACCGCACGCACCTTGGGACGGCCGTGGAGGAGCTTACGGCGGTACTCGTCATAGCTTCCGGCCTGCGAGCGGTAGAACGACTCCAAACGCTACTCGCACGCGTGTAAGCAGTCCCCACAGAGAAAGCAAAGATGAGGATTATTAACAGCTCCTAAGTGAAAGGACCACCAACATGCATTGGTGTGCTCATCTTTATCTTTAGAAATCACCAACAATCGTTCAAAGATTATCGAAATCGTTCAAAATTTGGGGGGGGGGTAAAAACGAAAGAGACGGTGAAAGAAAGTGACACGACGACAAACCCGAAATCCAAAGATGCAAGGGAGGGCGAGGGAGGAGTGGGGATCGTACTTCCTTGTGGGTGCTTCCGGAAATAGGATGGAAGAGCATGAGGGCGAGCACGCGCACCTCCGCGATGAGCCACACCAGCGCACTCCACACACGCCCAATCAGTCCCATCTCACAAAAGCCGGCGGTCAAAAGAGCTTGTGATAAATCAATCGCGAAAGATCGCGTGAGCTTCGTCGATCCACCACCAAGGCCCAACAGCCACTCGCCGCCACCTTTTTTCCCACTTTCTCATCGGCCAAATAATAAAAGTGATTTTGAGTTATGCTTGGTATGCCCGATATTCGCCCAATCAGAAATATCCCATAAAAGGAGTATTTACTTGGTAGTGAAAAGGAGAACGAAGACCTTCTCGTCAAGAGGAGAAAGGGCGCAAAGAGGAATTCGTTCTTCTCTTCCAGAGAGAAAGGTCAGGCACCAGCGGCACACCATGGCACCTGCAGTGGTGCGCTGGGCGCAGGAACGGGCCATTCAGCTCAAGGTCATCCTCTACAAGAATTTCAAAGTTTCGGTACTTGCAATCCTCTTCGCGATTTTCCTTCCCCTCCATTGATTCTCAGCACAATAAACAATATCTTCTCCACACTGCTTGCTATCATATATTTATATCCATATAATAAATATATAATAATTTCAAATATTATTATTTATTATTCGTAAACCAGCTGCGAGGTTGGCCGACGACGAGCATCGAGCTACTGGCGCCGGTGGCGTTCATCCTGCTCCTGCTCCTCATCCAGGCCATCCCCAACACCAACAAGGGTACCATTGCACTGTCCTACACGCCCTGTAGCCGGTTAGCTTTTATTTATTTACTCTTTAACTTCCTTTACCATTCACCACAGACGAGAACCCGCAGCCGGACTCGGTTGGCCTTCTGCCCAAGTGCCACGTACGCCCGCTCGCTCGACTTTCGTCTGAGGCTGGGCTGACCCTCACCCTATGTGCATGCTCCTCACCCACTCCTCTTCGTCTCTCCACACTGATCTCACACAGGGCCGCACGAAGGCCGACAGCAAGTGCTATTCGCTCTTCTATCTGCCCAATGACAACCCGGAGATCAATGCCGTCATGACCACCCTCGCCGACCGAAACAAACTCAACATCTCCACAGCCACCGAGCTCTCGCCTAAAGTGCGTGCGGGCCTTTCCTTGTTCGCTCTGTTGTGTGTGTGCGTTCACTTTGATGTCGCGATTGGGTTCTAATGTTTGTATTTGCCGCAACTGCGACCACCCCCAGACCTACGGCTATGTGGTGGGCTGGCCAGGCGGGCAGGCCAAGGAAGTGCGAGAATGGATCAAAAAGAATCCCAACATGACTCAGGGCGGTACGCGCACCTCTCGTGTCGTGTCGTTGGGCGTGTCGTTGGTCGTGTAACCAGTGATCGAGCTCACCTCTTACCTGTTCCGACAGTGCTGGACTTTACGTCGGTGGCGGGCGAGATCAAGTACACGCTCATGTACAACAAATCGTGTCCCTCCATCGTGGAGAAGTGCAAAGGTACGACCCTTAATGATATATATCCCTCAATTGGAGTCCCAACCCATCAACCAACCAACCGAGCAACCAATCTACCGACATGTCCGGTGTGTGTGCGTAAAGACTACAGGCCGACCATACTGCGTGCCATTTCGGAGGCGCTGGCGATCCACTACGGCAACGCCAGCGAAGCCGCGTTCGAGCTCTACGAGTCGGTCTACCCTGAGATCGCCCCGCCGTCGGATGGTACGCGCAGTAATCCATTACCCCCCCCCCATTTCGAGGGCCTAACCGCATTCATCGAATGTTTCCGTGTCGACAGCCGTGAAGACGTACGGCATTCTGTTCTTCTACTGCGGCGGCATGTTCTTCTTCATCATCCTCCTCTACCAAATCGGTACGACACGACACGACACGACACGACACGACACGACACGACACGACACGACACGACACGACACGACACGCACGCCCACATGATAGGCAACACGACACACGGCTGACGGCGTGGTGCAGTGTATGAGAAGGAGCACAAGTTGCGCCAGGGCATGCGCATGATGGGTCTTCGCGGTTCGATCTACTGGGCGGCCTGGTTCATCCACTCGCAGATCATCAACATCCTGTCGACGCTCCTGCTCATCGCCGCCGGCATGGCGTGCGACTTTGCGTTCTTCCGCTACACCAACTTCTTCGTCCTCTTCCTCGTCTTCTGGGTGTTCGCGTGGACCATGTCCCACCTGGCCTTCCTCATCGCCACCCTCATCCCCACCACCAAGCTGGCCGTACGTAGCTCAACCCATCGGCCACCCCTCACCACACACACACACACACACACAGACGTTTTTCTTTCGCCGCGGCCGTGTTATTAACACTGCACGCGCAGGTCTACATGTCGATGTTCGTGTTCATCATCGGCGCCCTGCTCATGCTCATCTTCTCGCTGTTTGGCGCGTTCATGTTCCCGCTGTACGTCGTCCGCTCGCTCTCATTCACGATTTTATTTATTAATTTCTTTATTCGTTATCGTCGTTTCCTTGGCACGGCACTGGCGCGCCAGGCTGTACGAGGGCGGTCCCATTGCCACGCCGGCTCTCTGGGTGCTCTCGTTCGTGCCGATGTACAACTTCGCCAAGGCCGTGTTCGACATCAACAACAAGTCCTTCTCCCTCGGCTCCGTCACCGGCGAGGGTACGCACCCCGCCGGCCTCTCTCCGAGGCCACTTGGCTGAACTTGGCCGCCGTGTTGTGGTGGGTGTGTGTGTCGTCGTGTGTCGTCGTGTGTGTGTGTGTGTGTGTCGACAGGTTTCACGTGGAACGATTTGTTCGAAAAGAGCAACCTGCGCGATGCGGCCGACGTCCCGCCGACCATTGAGACCATCTACTTCCAGCTGATCCTCATCGGCATCTTCACCGTCCTGGGCTGGTACTTTGACAACACCGTACCAGGTAGGCCTCCCCAATTAATATTATTGAACAAAAATTATATTCTTATTATTATAAATACTATAGATATATTTATGATAGCGTTATATTACAATATATTCTTGTATTTGTAGAATGGCATGGTTTAGATAAAATATAAGTTATTTAATGCATATAAAATGTAGGCGCGTCTGGTGGCAGCTCCGAGCCGCTGTGGTTCTTCTTCACCCCCGGCTACTGGGGCTTCTCGCAAAAGAAGGCCAAGGCGCGCACAACCCGCCTCACGACCACCTTACCTTTGCGGGTTCGCCCGGTCGGTTCTCCGCTGACGGTGCCGCTTGTATGCGCAATGGCTCGCGTGCAGGTCGATCTGGACGTGAGGGACGCGCCCCGGGAGGGTGTCGCTGCGCACCGTCTCATGAAGATCTACCAGAAGTGGCCCTTCGTCAAGTCTCGCAAGGACGTCCTTGCGCTGAGGTAGCTACCGACCACCTCGTGTGTGTTGCGTGTTGCGTGTTGCGTGTTGCGTGTTGCGTGTGTGTCGTGTCGGCTGCTGACGCTTCTCGAAACGCACGCAGGGACTTCTCGGCCACCATTCCCGAGGGGGAGATCTTCTGCGTGCTGGGCCACAACGGCGCTGGCAAGACCACCACGGTCTCGATGATGACCGGTCTCTTCGAGCCCACCTTCGGCGATGCCACCATCTACGGCCACTCCATCGTCTCCGAGATGGACGACATTCGCCGCATCATGGGCGTGTGCCCGCAGGTACATCGCCTTCCTCACATCGTGTTGCGTGTGCGGGTGTGTGCGGCGTGTGCGGCGTGTGCGGTGTGTGCGATTGGACTAATTCGCCATAAATGTGGCTGCAGCACGATATTTTGTGGAACGAACTCACGGCCGAGGAGCACCTGGAGATCTTCGCCGATCTCAAGGGCGTGCCGCGCCAACTGCGCACCGCCGTCATCAAGGACAAGCTCGAGTCTGTGGGCCTCTACGGCGTTCGTGACAAGAAGGCCGGCTCGTTCTCGGGCGGCATGAAGCGTCGTCTGTCGGTGGCGATCAGCTGCATCGGCGAACCCAAGATCATCTTCATGGACGGTTCGCGCCCCACCGCCTCCACCTCCCGCGCTCAGAACTTGAACTTGCTGACGTCATCATCGTCGTCATCGTCGTCGTCATCATTCGCTCGGCAGAGCCCACCACCGGCATGGATCCCGTGTCGCGTCGGCACGTCTGGAATCTCATTCAGGAGCTCAAGCAGAACCGAGTCATCATCCTCACCACCCATTCCATGTGCGGCCTTACGCCCCGTTGCGCCACAGCGAGCCAGCAGTTGACCGTCGTATGTGGTGTGTGCGGCGTGTGCGGCGTGTGCGGCGCGTGTGTCATGGGGGGGGGGCACAGGGAGGAGGCCGACGTGTTGGGCGATCGTATCGCGATCATGTCGCACGGTGAGATCAAGTGCCTCGGCACTCCGCTCCACCTGAAGAACAAGTACGGCGACGGCTACCGCATCAACGTCACCGCTCGCCCCGACGCCATCGAAGAAGCCAAGGCCCACATCAACGAACTGTTGCCTGGTAACACACGCCACACGCCACACGCGCGTGTGTGCACACATCGCTGACACGTGTTGCGTGCTATAGGCGCGAACTTGGTGGCCGAGACGAACCAGTACTTGATCTTCGGCCTGCCGCACTCGCACCTCTCGCAGATCGTGCCCTTCTTCAAGATCATCGAACACGAGCGAAGCCAGCACGGCAAACGCGCCCTCGTCTCTGACTGCTCCATCTCGCACACCAGTACGTTCCCGTTGCCGCACACGCACACAGCGCACACGTTCGTAGTTTTGTGCGTTTGCTGATGGCGGCGGGTGGTGGCACAGCGCTGGAGGAGGTCTTCCTGAAGATCACGCGCCAGGCCAACGCGGAGGAATCGCGTTTGGTGAAGGACCCGTGGAGCAAGGCCGACCAGCTCAAGGCCGCCACCTCCAGGCAGCACTGAGTGGGTGTGACCCACACGAACTGTTTTTTCTAATTGATTTTTTATTTTATTTTCTTATTTTCTGGACAAGCCACTTTTGTGCCAAACAAGGAAAGATCAAACCAAGCCGCAGAAGAGATTCAAACAACACTCTTCACCAGTTGGCTGAGTGGAACAGCTGCTGCCATGGATCCACTATCAATGGAGGAGACAGACCCATACGACCTCCCTCTGCTGAAAGAACCACGCACTGTCCCTCTGCCGGTACAACCCACCCTCCCCATCAACTAGCATCAACTAGCTTCTTCTCCACCAATGGGTCCCTATTTTCCACTTTGCTGGGCCATGCATGAGCTTGACCACCAAAACGTAAGAGGTCATCAATAGCTTATGCTGGGGCACGTCATAAATAACCTCCCACCCACTAGCATATACCATGTCAAACATCAGCTTGCAACAATGCAGGACAGGCACCCGTGTGTTTGGGGGGTGCACAAGGCGTGTCAGCACCACGGTGCTGTTTGGCCAAGAGCCGCCTTTTCCAAGTGGCTGAGTGATAATTTAATTATGATAATAATCATAATTAAAATAATCCCACCCAATTTCCGACCACCAAGCCCAGCCCACGGGAGAACACCGACAACAACTCAAAACGCAGCAGTGTCTGGGGGAAAGGGCCCTCTCCTGAACTGCAAGCAGCCCTTTGCCATCCATCTTCCCCCCCCCCGAAGGGATCTCTACAAACGCCTTTGTAAGGCTTTTACACACGCGGTTCCAAATCACCCGCTATGTCCGAAATCGTGCCGTCGCCATCGTCTGAAGGCGGTGGACCCATGGGGCGCCTCCCCCCGCGCCCCGGTGGTGGGTCTACTATCACGTCCCCCTCGGGCCGCACCAAGCACCTGCCTCCCGTACTCCCCCCTCAAATCCTTCGTTCTTCGCCTTAGTTGAAATCTCTCTCCTTTTTTTGGAAGTTTATTTAAACCATTTATTTTTAAGTATAAACAATACCAATATTCAACTTATTTGTTCTGTAGTTTTAAACCTTTTTTAAAATAAGATATGTTTTTTTTTCCATAGGCTACGCCGCCACCGCCGGTGCCGCCCAACGCGGCGCCCTTTGGCCGCATGGGCGGCCGCGGCCTGCCGAGCCTGCCGCCGACCCCAGTAAACGGCGGCCCCCTGCCGACCGGCGGCAGCGCCATCCTCCCGGGCGGCCGCGGCCCGCCGCCCATGCCGCCCCGCCAGGCCCAGCCGGGAATCACCCGCTCGGCCACCACCGGCCTCCTGGTCCACTCGGCCTCGGTCAATACCGGCGGCAGCGTGAGCGGCGGCTTCGCGAGCACTCCGCAGCAGTCGCAGGCCATGTTCGGCGGCGCGGCCGGCGGCGCGATGGGCGCCGGCGAGCTCCAGGAGCTGGGCGAGCTGCTGGGTGGCGTGCCCACCCCGCCGGGCAGCAACGGAGGCTCGATGGACGAATCGCCGTCGTCGACCACGGCGTCCCCGACGGGCAGCCTCAGCTCGGCGGCGTCGCGCAAGCGGCCGCCGCCACCGCCGCCGCGCGGCATCAGCCCGTTGGCATCGTCGGCATCCGCAATGTCGCCTCCCTCCCTGTCCTCCCCCCGCCACTGTACGCCGCCTCTCTGTGCAGTGCCGTGCGTGCCATACGTGCCGTGTGCCTGACCGATTGTGCTGCGTGTCGTGTGTCGTGTGTGTCGTGTGTGTCGTGTGTGTCGTGTGTGTCGTGTGTGTCGTGTGTAGCGGCGCGCTCGCCGTTGAGTGCGTCGGCGGAGAGCATCACCGAACTGACTCCCGACGCGGAGTCCGGGGCCTCCCAGTCGCCCTCGGAGCTCCTCTCCTCCTCCGCGTCGGCCATCGGCGTACCAGGTACCAGGCCCGATCCCGACTGTCCCCCCCCCCTCCAGGGGGACCGACCGTCACAGACCTCAAATCGTTTCCCCCCCCCTTCGTTTGTGGTCGTGGTGCAGTCGGACCGGGCCACAAGCTGGACGACGATCCCCACCGCGCCAATATCGTGCAGGAGATTCTGAGTACCGAGAAGGCCTACGTGTCACAGATCTCGCTGCTGATCAAGGTACACCTACCGCCCACCACTTAATCCCACATCGCATTCCACGCATTGTTTCGAACTAACACAATAAATTGTATTTCTGTTTTTATTTATTATTATTATTATTATGCAGAATTACAAGGGACCCTTGAACACTCTGGCGATGACCAATTCGGATCTGGTCAAGCAGGAGGACATCAAGGTCATGTTCTCCAATATTCACTTGATCCTTCCCCTCAACCAAGTGCGTATACTCCTCACTCGCCTCTGCACCACCGCCGTTTATTATTTATTTATTTATTATTATTTATTATTTCGAGCCCATTTGCTGACGACGGCGTACGTTCATTACAGACCATGTTGAAGGACCTCCAGGCCCGCATCGACACGTGGTCTCCCAAGCAAAAGCTGGGCGACGTGTTCGTTCAGCTGGTACGTCCAAACCGCACGTGCATGCGGTTAATATGTTTGTCTCCATTTACTTATATATATATACATGCTATAATTATAAATATGTAGGGTCCGTTCCTTAAGATGTACAACGAGTACGGTAACAACTACAAGCAGGCACTGGCCCTCTACAACCACTACGTAGCCACGTGCCCCAAGTTCGTCGAAACGATCAACGTACGTCGGTGCAAGCGCACGCGCAGCAAGAAGGACTGTGGTGCGATGATGGCCTCGTTCGACCTGACACTCGTCTCCTTCCCCTTCTCCCGCGCAGCTGTGCAAGCTGACCTGCAAGCCACCCATGAACCTCGAGTCGCTGCTCATTACCCCCGTGCAGCGAATACCCCGCTACAATCTCCTGCTCCAGGCACGCACACCCATTATCGAACATTTATATATTTGTTCTTTTCATCAAATACTGATTTATTTATATAATTTAAATTATTCTTATAAAACTAAGAATAATATATTAATGAATTTATATAATGTAGGATTTGATCAAGAACACGGACGCGACGCACCCTGACTACGACGATCTGTGCAAGGCCCTCGCCCTCATGAAGGACGTGTCGCAACACATTAACGAGAGGTGCGCACGCGTTCCCTCCATGCCGGGTGACTGCGTGCACGGCCCGTGCCGGAGGTGTTGACAATGTGTCGCATGTTGTGTGCGTGTGCGTGTGCGGGTGTGCAGTGTCAAGAAGACAGACAATCTGCGCAAGCTCGCCGAGGCCTCGTCCAAGGGCGCCGGCTTCAGGTACGTGTGTGGTGGGTCGCGAAGAGTTCGCGCCGTGGGCTGCAGCCGCGCCAAGCCGAAAGCTGACGTGCCTGCGTTGGTACGTACGTGTGGTCTCTGCGCGCAGAGGCCTGATGGAAGCCCATCGGCAACTGATACGCGACGGACTGCTCCAGACCGTAGACTCGCGAGGTACGCGCCGTCACTCTATAGATATTTTTTCTAATAATATCATATAATGTCTATAGAGATAAAGGCATGTAATGTTAGAACATTCATGATGTATATGTGCGTCGTGTTGAATCCCAGGGCACAAGGAGAAGATGCACTTCTTCCTGTTCAACGACATCCTGGTGTTCGCCAACAAGAACGACGTCAAGAAGCAGACCGACATGACCAAGCTGAGCTCCCAGTGGCCTCTCGAACTCGTTTGGGTGCGCCCTTTGTCATTTCGCTCGCATTTTCAACACGCGCACAACACGACACACACGACACACGACCGCACACGCATGGGCGGATGTTGACCAAGTAGTGCCGACATGTGCAGCTGGGCAAGACGACGGGTACGGCGAACAAGGGCGAGGTGGTGTGGGAACTGGTGGGTCCGAACACGAGCTTCACCATCACCTGCCAACCGGACGAGATGACCCAGTGGACCACCGCCATCCAGAAGCTGCTCGCCGAGCGTAGCCTCGGTACGCCGACCACCAACGCACGCCTGAGGCCCCAACTTGCTGACGTCATGTTGACCCCTATTATTATTATTATTATTATTATTTAATGACAGCGCCGGACTACCGCGAGGGCGCCTACGACTTTGGAGTGGCCACCTACGTGGGCCAATGGATGACCGGCAAGGTTTGTACAGCGATAGCCATTGGATCAAATTAACACGCTCGCTGATTGCGGTTGGTCGGTTGTGGTGGGTTGGTTGCAGATCCACGGGCAGGGCCGGTACTGCTACTTCGGCAACGAGTACGAGGGCGGCTTCGAGAACGGCAACAAGTCCGGGCAGGGCGTGCTCGTGTTCAACACCGGCGACGTCTACGAGGGCACCTGGGCCAACGACATGCAGAGTGGCCAGGGCTCGTTGAGGTACTCCTGCGGTTCGCGCTACGTCGGCGAGTGGGTCAACGGCAAGAAGCAGGGCCTGGTACACACACGACACACCGCACACGACAAGACACGACCAACGACACACCGCACACCGCACACACATGGATGATGGGAGATTGAGTGGAGCGCCGCGTTCTCTCCGACAGGGCGAGTTCGTGTGGGCCAGCGGTGACCGGTACACGGGGAGTTGGAAGGAGGACCTCTTCTCCGGCGCCGGCAAACTCACCCTCTCCGCGGGCGTCTCCTACGACGGCTCGTGGCAGCTCGGCAAGGTGCGTGCGATTGCACTGGGTGTCGTGTGTTGCGTGTGTCGTGCTGTGTCGTGTCGCATGATGCGTGTGTCGTGGAGGTGCTCACGTGCGGACCAACGTGTTCTGCTCCAACAGTTCCACGGCAAGGGCACGCTGATCTTGCCCAGCGGGAAGACCTACATGGGCGAGTGGGTCAACGGTCAGAAGGAGGGCCACGGCGTGCTCGACACCGGCCACGGCGAACGCTACGAGGGTGTCTGGAAGGCCAACAAGGTAACCGCACACGCGACACAACGCGAAACGACACACGCCACCCACGACACACACTCACGACACGACACGACACACGCAGAAACACGGACTGGGCACGTTCGTGGCGCCGGACTCGTGGGGCGTGCGCTACATCGGCAACTGGGCGCTGGGCAAGAAGGAGGGCCAGGGCACGATGTTCTACATGGACAATTCCAAGTACGAGGGCCAGTGGAAGGCCGACGTGCCGCACGGCAAGGGCACGCTGACCCTCAGCACGGGCGACATCTACGCGGGCGCCTTCAAGAACGGAAAACCGGCGGGCACGGGCCAGTACACGCACGTGACCAGTTCGGTGATCCACCAGGGCAAGTTCGCGATGGGCATCAAGGACGGCAAGTGCACCATCACGCGACTCGTGAGCGAGCAGGAGAAGGCCGAGGCGCTCAAGTACCCGCCCATGGACAAGCTCGTCGGCACCGTGGTCGACGGCCGAGTCACCTGCACCAACGCCGCGTACGCTGCTTGCCCTCTTCTTACTGTGTGTCATGTGCGTGTCGTGTGCGTGTCGTGTGCGTGTCGTGTCGTGTCTTCAAAACTGTGGATTGCGCAATCACTCACATAAGAGATTCTCTCTTGCCCAATGCAGCGGCGACCACACGGTGGAGGTGATCATGCCGCCACCAATGCCCAACCTGGACATGTTCTAATGAGCAGCCGGCGAACGCCAGGACACAGCTGCCTCGCTTCAGACAAGTCTGTACTCAAAACAACAAAGTGCTTTTTTTGGTTGCGGCAATGTTTTTATCTATTTTTCTTTGTAATATTTTTATTTGTACCAATATTATTTCGTCTTCGATTCGGTGAAAAAAGAAGCAGAAGAGAAAAGGCGGTAACAACACCGGCCAGCACGTAGAAATCAACCAAACAGCTCAGCAGAAGACTACAACGATGGGAGCACAAAACGCAAAGGCCGACTTGGAGGAGTACAGAGCGGGCTACCCCACCCAGCAAGACGACCCCCGCCAGAAGGACAATCTTCGTTTCTACAAGGGTACCTACCGCACAAAGAACTCTCACCCTCAAAGAATCGTGTTATCACTTGCATCGTCCATCTAGAGATGATCGTTGCTTTCTCTTCACTGTTCCATTTAGTGATTTATTTGCTCATTTATCCATTTTGTAAAGGCGAGATCAAGTCGGTGCCTTCCGGCGACTTCATCGACAAGATACATGAGGAGTGGTTTGGCAACTACGCCCTGCTCGAACGCCACCACGGCTACATCCAATGGTAAACACAATGTGCCCAAGCCACTACTTGCACCAGAGAGATGGCGATTGGTGCTCACCTCTCTCTTCCTCTCACTGCCATGCACCACTAGGCTGTTCCCCATCCGCGAGCACGGCATGAACATGCAGAGCCAGGTTCTCCAGCTCCACGAAATCGAGGGCATCAAAGCCGACCCTGAGGTGCTTGATCTCCCCCTTCAACCGTAGCCGCTTCGCTTGATCGGTCGCTCGGTCGCCTTGTGCCGCACTCACGCTCTCGCTCGCTCTTTGAACGGCACGCAGTGCGGGAGGCGAATGGTGCGCTCGTACGAGCTGATGCTCGAGTTCTACGGCATGAAGCTTAAGAACGCCGAGACCGGCGAGCTGGAGCGGTCCGAGAACTACAAGGCGCGCTACCGCAACCTCAACACGTCGGGCCACAACTACCTCCGCATCACGCGCATCCTCAAGAGCCTGGGCGAGCTGGGCTTCGAGCACCTCAAGTTCAACTTCCTCGCCTTTGTGGCCGACGAGATCTGGACCCACGGCGAGCTCAAGAACTGCAAGAGCTCGATCGAGAACTACTGGACCGGCACCCTGCGCGACGACACCCAGCGCGCCGAGATGGAGAAGCGAATCAGCGACTTCAAGAAGGCGGCCGGCGAAGACGACGAGGACCGGTTCTCGGCCTACCGTCGTGGCGGCCCCCAGCAGCGATACGGCGGCGGCGCTGGCGCTGGTGGCGCTGGTGGCCGAAGCGCGGGCGCGGGCGTGCCGGCGCGAAAGCCAGTGTATGCGGACAGCGACAGCGACAGCGATGATGAGGACGAGGTGGATACAGAGGAAGATGATGACGCGCAGGCCAACCCTCCTGCCAGCAACGAGAAGGCGAAGACGAAGGTCGCCCCCGCCGCTCCGGTCCGGGCCAACCCTCCCGCCAACAAGAAGGAGCAGGACAGCGAGAGTGATGACGAGGGAGAAGCGGAGGAGGAAGAGGTCGCTTCGCCAGCCAACGCCAACGCCTGAGCTTCTTCTTGCCAAAGCCCAGCCAACGGACATGTAGAACCCCCGAAAAAACCTGGAACAGGCAGCTTTTTCTTCAACTCTTCTTGGCCCAATCAGAAACGGGCTTTGATTTTCAGTCAACGCCCACGCCAGAACAGCAGCGCGCGAAACAAAAACCATTCCTCCCAAACAAACAGACGATCAACAAGGTGCGCCGCGGCGGTTCCCTACTCCTAGCCATTACATCTCTATCTACGGGAGCTTTACACATCGAAATGAGCGCAACGAAGGCGAGCGGGGCTGAGTTGGTGATCCTGCAGCTGAGCTCGTTGGATCAGGAGGAAGTCTATAGAAATGCCGAGAAGAAGATCGTCCATGCGGTGATCAAGAACATCCCCTTCGCGATGGAGCTCGGGTTTCGTGGTCGGTTCGACCCGTACGTTGTCGATTTCCACAAATTCACCCTCAAGTGTACGCTGCTCTACGATACGCAAGGCGAAGAACGTACCGTGGACTGGGTCAAGTCGAGCCCCATCGACTGCGTAGTCCAGGTCAACGAGACCGGTGAGCGCGCCACGACCGAGGTGCGACTCCAGGCGCTCTCTTCCCAGCACGAGGACATGGCGTTCCGCATCAAGTACACGGCCGTGCCGCCTGCGACGTCGAATCTCGAGCCGCTGGTAGTCGTCTCGGAGCCCATCAAGGTTGTGAGCAAGCAGAGCCAGCTCAAGAAGAACAAGAAGCCGCCCGCTACTCGAGGAGCGAAGAAGCGCACCGCGGCCGCCGTCGCTGCTCCCGAGAACGCTCAGATCGCAGATTCGCTCGCGCGCATCGAGGCCCAGCAACGCCAGCAGCAGTCGCTGATCAACTCGCTCATTCAGACCGTCGCCATCCTTCAGCAGACTCGACAGCACACCTCTGCCTCCGGAGCCTCTACACCCGCGGTTGCCGACGTAGCCTCGTCGCCCAACCAACCTTGCGATGACGATTACGACGTCCAGCAGCCAATGCGCAAGCGCGTCAAGATTGAGCAGGAGATCGACCTGCGAAGCCCGCATCCGCAACCCTCTCCGTCCAGCCAGGAGGCCACCCTCCAGTTCGAGCACCACCTGAGCGGTCTCATGGCCACCTTCGCCCAGCTCCCTCCCGCGGAACGGGCGACGTGCATTCACCGAGTCTTCCGAGACCATTCCTCCCGCGCTGGCGAGGTGGTCGAGGCGCTTCTGACTGAGAGTCTCACGGCGGCCAAGCCCAACGACCAACAAGTGCACTTCGACACCTCGGAGAGTGCGACGGCCGACCTCTCGAACTTCGACTCGAGCACCTACTACGATCCGAACGCTTACGATCTCCACCACGCCGTCCCCGACGCAGCTGAAGGTGAATACGACTTCTCGCCCTTCCTCACCATTGACAATCTATCTCAACACCTCTTTCTCGATTAGCGTTCTACCAGCACGCTCTGCACGCGCAGACGCAGCTGCCTAAGGACGAAACCCACGAGAGCTGAACGACCGACCGCACCCGCAACGTCGAGCCACCCCCACAACGACATCAACACACCACTAACCAAGTGCTGGTTACTGTGGCCTCCACGGGGCGTGGGCGCGCCGGACGTCGCTCTCGCCACTGTACAAACACTCTCCCACACTCAACCCAAGGTATAAATACCACGCATCCTCCAATTCCCTGCTGTGCACCACCACAGATCTTCATCCCCTTTTGCCTCTTTCCTCCAGGCCCGTCCGTAGGACGACCTGCCAGAAGGCCCTCTGGTCGGCCACCAAGCTCCCGCCTCAGCTGAGCGGTCGAGCGTCGTCGGTCGTGAGAGAGCAGACCTCCGCGGCCTCTCCGCTTGAGCCTAGACCTAGGTCCTTCCTCCCTCCCTCTTCGCCCCCCGCCTCCCACCGACGGTCGTAGTACGTAGACGTCACACTGGGCCGCCCGCCGCCATCACGCCTGAGTTTTGAGTTCTACGCTGCGCGTACGTTGCTTCTCCCTATGCCCGTCGTGTCCGTCGTGTGTTGTGCGTCCGCGCTCGTCCCTTCGTTTCATCTCTCCCTACGCCGTCCACGACGAACACTTCGTCCTCCTGGAGCTGAAGAAACACAACCCACCAAGGGCAATCAGAAAATAAATAAAAACATTTCTTTATCCCACACCATCGCTGGCCTCTCTCCTTCACACAAAGCAACTGTTCCCACCACCCGCTTGCCGACGGCCCGTTGCGCACACAGTGCTGAAGACGCTGCTCGAGAGGGGCTCCATCCGCCTCCCATGACGAAGGCCCTTCAGACAGAGATCAGGGCGCTCTTACCCTCCTTGCCTGTCACGGACCAACCGCCCGCGTACGAGTTCGAGAATGGTGAAGCCGTCATGATGAACGTTCATGCGTTGCCGGTCAGGCCGTGCAGGGTTGACTCCTATTTCATTCCAGCCCACCACTTGAGGATGTGCGGCGGGACTGGCTCCGGGGCGAGGTAGGGCGACGACCAGCTCGCCTTCACCAGCTCCGAGAGCTCCTCCGGCACCGCCCCCGCACCTACCTGCGCCCATTCTTTTCCAGCGGCGGCAAGCACCATCGCAGCACGCGCCCTGGGTAGTCGTAGTCGGTCGTTAGGCTCACCATCCAGCTTTGTGTGTGTGTGTGCGGTGTGTGCGTGTGTGTGTGTGGAGTGTGTGCACTTGAGGGAGCCCTTGGCGGGGCACGACGATGGCGGGAGCTGGTCGTTACGGACGTAGACCAGGCCGTGCACCAGCCGCTGGCCCTCGCCCCGATCCCTCTTCGGCGCCGCCAAAGTTGCCCTCGACGGCCTCCCGCTGGGTGCACGGCCGGCTGGCGTCGTCGCTCAGATGGGTCCACGCGTCTCTGTCCGGCAGGGCGCGCACGAACGTGTGGCGTGCGCCGCGCCGACGAAACATAGGCCAGCACCAGCGCCAGCGTGTAGCCGGTGACCGGATTGTCTTGCGCGCTGCTCGGATCGACGAAGGCGCCCAGGTCGAGCGCTTCAGTGAACTCGAACCTTAAATGCGGGTCTGTCAGTTGGCCGGTTGAGCGTTGCAATCAAATAATGAAAAGAAGAAGATAAATATCACCTGTTCTTGCGGATGGTGTGCCTCCAGGCCGGCCGCGATGCTGTTGGTCGAACTTTGGAGGGAAAGCAGATCGCCTCCTCGGTCTAGACCGAGAGAGAGAGAGAGAGAGAGAGAGAGAAACAGCTCTGTGTCAGAGAGAAGGCCGGCCCACGAGATGCAAGGCACGTAGAATGAGACAATGGGCGGAACGTAACTCTTGAGGAGGGCGGGGTGGCATCAGTGTAGACGAGGGAGCGCACCAACTGACCCTCCAGGACCTGGTGCAGCGTGGGCCTTGCAGGCTGCTGAGCCGAGCGCGTGGGAGTAGCCGAGCCCTGCACGGCCGCACACGCACACGCACACGCACACGCACACGCACACGACCGAGCCGCACAGGAGTACGGAGCAGTACGTGAGTTCAAGGGTAAGCCCGAAGAGAATTGTATGGGGGAGGTGCGTCATGGTACCACCAGCTGCTGATAGAGAACCATGAAGAGCTCCGCAAATCCGAGTGCGTGTAGACATCCGACGCCGCCCAGCTGTCGGCACCACCGTGCACCAGGGCAGCAGAGAGAGAGAGAGAAGAGCGAGATGTGAGGTTAGCAGGACCTGCGGTGTGGTTGCAAAAAATCGTTGACGCGTCGGCGCACCCGAATGCTTGTGCGAGGGGACTGATGCTCGGCGGCTTCACACCGCTGCCTGGCGGCTGGTTCAGTTGAAACACCATCCTCTGCAACGGCTCCACAATCATACTTCCTCCCCAATGACATTGGCCCGCTCTGAAGTCAGTGATGACTCTTTTTTATTGTTCTTGTTATTTGCATTATCTTATTAAAATTATTATTATTTGCATTATTATTAAAAGGCAGTACTCGTTCTGTCGTTTTCGTTATTGGGGGAGGTCACAATACTTGGTGAAGGGGGATGGGAGGTTGTAGAAGGCGTGGCGAAGGGGCAGCACGTGGGCCAGTACGTAGACGGCCTGATGCACGATACCCTGCCTCCCCTCCAGGTGCCCCATGGGGTGCGTTGGTGCTGCTTCCACTGCTTCCATGTGGGTTTAGTTATTTTTTCTTTTATCAAGAAAAAACTGACGAAGGACAAGGAGTGAAGCGGGCGCAGTTAAGGGAGGCCAGTGAGGTTGATGGATACGGCCATACTGCGCAGAAAGCACCGCTTCCCATCCGAACAGCGAAGTTAAGCTGCGCCAGGCGGTGTTAGTACTGGGGTGGGCGACCACCCGGGAATCCACCGTGCCGTATCCTTTTCTTTTGCTGCTTGTCCGCCTCTCCTTGCTATCTTCCTTTGGCTCTCCACCACACTCCCGGCGGCTCCCGGAGGCTCGTTCAAAAAAAAAAAACCAGCAAAACGTTGAAAAGAATCAGTTCGCATGTCGACAAAAACAATCGTAACCAATTAATTTATTGGCAGCAAAGAAAAAGAAGCAAACACAGAAGCGAAAAGAGATGGCTACGCAGCGAGGGGGAAGGCAGGTGGAGCGGCTCGTGGTGGCCGAGTTCAATATCGACCGAGGCAGCTCCATCACCCACCAATACCCCGGCCCCGTCGGTGTCCCTGAGCAGTACCACCCCCCTTTATAAGTTATTAATATAATTTAATTACATTTTTATTGTTTTTTTATTCTGTTTTATTGAGCGTGGTCCGCACCACTACCTTCTTTGGGGCGGGGGGCGACGAACCAGGACGCTGGCCGAGCTGATGCTGCCGGACGGCGTGCACAAGCGGAAGGACGACTGGACCCTCTTCTTTCTCAACCGTGACGTGCGTGCCCCCCCTCAACGACCACAAACTAGCTATGGCGACTAATGATCGTGCGTGCGTGTGCGGTGCGTGCGGTGCGTGCGTGTGCGGTGCTGGGCAGGGAGCGGAGGCGAAGGCGGGCGGGAAGGAAGCTAAGGCGGCGGAGAAGCCAAAGGCCGGCGCGGCGGGCACGCTCCACGCCCCGATGGACGCCTTCATTTACGAATACGACGACAACTGCGAAGGAGGCACGCACGACTACCGCCACACTCGCACTCGCGTCGTGTCGTGCGTCTCTGACAACACGCATCAACCGCACACGCACCGCCGCACACGCATCAACCGCCCACGCGCGCAGGATGGGTGCTGAAGGGGAAGAAGGTGCTGTTCGTGCTGCCTCGGAGCGTGGAGATCAAGGAAGACGCCAACCCGGCCTCGCCCTCCACCTACGTCGTGTATCTCCTCCTGCACCAACCACCTCCATTTACGCCTTTCTCACGCGTGTGCCTTCATGTGTATGTGTCGCGTGTGTCGCGTGTGTTGTGTCGCGTGTGTCGTGTGTGTTGTGTGTGTGTGTGTTGTGTGTTGTGTGTTGTGTATTGCGTCGTGTGTTGTGGACAGCACCAAGCACGCAGAGCTGGACTACACTCAGCTGGAGCCGATGTTCTCGTGCGTCCTCACGGCATCCGGCCTCGCACTTGGTGCGCCCTTCCGCAACGACTCTTCTGTCTTCTCCTGAAGCTCATCGACCGCACTCGTTGCGACGCACGCACGCGCACGCACCACATCGCAGGCTTCCGCTTTGCCTCCGCCACAGCCGAAAGCGTGTTCTCGGGCCACATCGAGCACCTGATGAACCTCCCCGGTGCGCAGACCCGCTCCCCCCCAAAGCAACTGTTTCATTTCTCACTGCGTGTCGTGTGCGTGTGCGGTGGTGCGTGTCGTGTCGTGTCGTGCGAACAGACGAGCCTGAGTCCGGCGGCGATGGCGGCGGCGGTGCGGAGGAGAAGCCGTTCCTGTACTGCCTCAATCGGGTGACCAACCACAAGGACGACACCGTGCGACGGGGCGCCGTCGTGAAAGCCCTCGCCATCTGCTCCCCCTTCCCCCACGTCCACATCTTCAAAGTACCCAACCTCCCCCTCTCCCCCCCTCGCTCACATTCCTCTCGATCCACTCACGTTGTGTGTGCGTGTGTGCGATCATGTGTGTGCGTGCGTGTGTGCGGTCGCGTGTGCGGTTAGCCGTTGATGGTGCTCGCACTCGACCTCATGTTCAAGTCGCCCGACAAGGAGGCCGAGGTGCGGACACGCCCAGCTGTGTGTCGTGTGTTTCTATAATGATGCGAAGCTCAATGGGAAATGTGGGGCGGGGTCAGATATTGGAGGAGGTCTACCGGGCCATCAACTCCATGGACCTGTCGCGCATCCCCATCCTCACCGAACCCCAAAAGGTCCGCACTCGTGCGAGTGCGTGCGTGTGCGCTACTGCGTGTGTCGTGCGTGTGTCGTGGTGTGTTGCTGATCGTTTCGCACGCGCAGGTCATTCGTCGAAACGGACGCGACCGAGCGCAGATGGAGCACGAGGCCGTTCTCTACTTCCAGGAGACGCCCATGAAGATCAAGATCCCGCTCCTCTCCGGCCCCGACGAAGTCGCCGACGTACGGCGCCGCGCTGCTTTTTTTTTATTTTTATTTTTAGCTCCGCTAACGTGTTCGCTCTTTCAACTCCGATCGTTCTTCTTCGCTCTTTTGCCCCCCCCCCCAGTACCAGGTGATCCCGCTGGTGCAGCGGCTGCAGGCCGGGGTCATGACCCTATTCAACGCCGTGCTCGCCGAGAAGCGAATCGTCTTCATCTCCGCCGACGGCTCGGCCGAGGAGCTCGTTAACTTTGTGCTCGGCACCGTCGGCATGGTATGTGTCGTGTGTCGTGTGTGTCGCGCGCGTCGTGTGTCGTGTGTCGTGTGTCTCACTTCTCTGCAGATGTCGCCTCCGCTCGTCGGTCTCGTGCGACGCGCCTTCCCCTACACCAACCTTGCCGGACTCGACGCCCTGCTCCCCGTGTACTCACCTCTCTGTGTGCACTTGTGTCGTGTCATGTGTGTCGTGTTGCATGTCGTGTGTCGTGTGTGCGGTGATGAAAAAAGATTAACATGTGTGTGTTGCGTTGTGTTGCGTGTGGTCAGGCCGGGCTACATCGCGGGCGTTGTGAATCCGATGTTCGCGGAGCGGATGGAGTGGTGGGACGTGCTGTGCGACGTGGCCACGGGCAAGGTCACCCTCAACCCCAACACCATGCCCCAGGAGAAGGAGCGCCTGCCCCACTCCAAACTCGACGCCGAGTTCTACCAACGGGTACCACACACGCTCTGTGTGTGCGATGTGCGTGCGATGTGCGAGTGCGGTGTGTGCGGTGTGGCGAGTTGCTGACATGGCCAGCCCCGTAGATCAACAGCGCGGTGAACAGCCACTACGGTGACGACTACATCAAGCGCCAGTTCGAGGTGTGCGATTTTCTCTTTTTTTTTCGTTCGCGTGCGTCGTGTCTCTACCGTGTGTGTGTGTGTGTGTGTCGCAGGTGAAACGCTGATTTCTTTGGCCTTCACTTGAAGGACTACCTGGGGCTGATCGTCGACGTGGCCACGGGCGAGGCCGAGTTCGCGACCCCGGCGGAAAAGCAGAGCTTCACCGACGCCAACGCCAAGCGCATCGAGTCGTGGAAGCGCTCGTCCTCCTTCACCCTCTACGAGGAGGTAACACACACGACACGACACGACACGACACGACACGACACGACACGACACGACACGACACGACACGACACGACACACACGACACACACACACACACGACACACACACACACACGCACAACACACAACGCCGCCACCGACGCTGAGTCTCATCTCATGTGTGCCGTGTGTCGTGTGTGTGCGGTGGCTGATACCAGCATCGGAAGAGGCTGAGGGAGCAGTCGTCCATCAAGAACGGCAAGGTGTTCCGCTACGTGCGGCAGCTGCGGTGCGCCAAGGGGATCTCCGATAGGTACGCCGACGGCGACGACGTACCTGAGCTCGTGATTGTGATCATGATCGCGAAGACCATGTTAGCGCCACATGTGAACTCACTTTTCTTTTTTTATCGGCACATGTTCATGTGCACACGCCAGCGAGATGCTGTACATCTACAAAACATTCCTCGACAACATCTCCACCGAGGAGCAGGTCGAAGAGGTACACCCACCTTTGACCGCACGCACGCACGCAACACACGCACGCAACACACGGCCAACTCACGGGCGAAATAACGCACACCACCACCACGACGACGACTACACAGTTTCTGGCCAATCTGCCGTCGTCGCAGGGCGGCCTCTACCCCGTGGCCGTGTCGCTGTTCCACCCGTCCAAGGCCGTGCGCGACGCCACCGTCGAACTTTTCAAGCGCTTCGAGACCATACAGGCACTCTTCATTCTTCGTTCTGCGTTCTTCGTTCTTTACACGATTCGTCGACTTACGCGCGTGTCGTGTTGGCAACACAGCTGGGCAGCGGCTTCCTGAAGAACCTCAACTTCTTCATCTACCTCGCCTTCAACCGTCAGCTCGAGCAGTCCGCCTGAGCCTAGCGCCAGCCCCGGGGCTGGCGCACTCTCCACTTGGAACGCGAAATGCAAATGTCATTCTTCATTCTTCGTTCTTCATTTTTCGTATCATTTTTCGCCTTGCAAGGCTTTGTTGTTGGCTTCGACCTTCGGTCGCTGGCGCATCTGCCGCGTGTACTCCCACACCATGATCGACGCGCTCACGTGCACGTTGAGCGATCGGATGACCCCCAGCTGCGGGATCTCGATGCAGGCGTCCAGCAGGTGTATCAGCTCCGGCGGAATTCCCTGCTTCTCCCTCCCTGCACCGCACACACGACACACACGGCGCACGACACACGGCCGTTGATATCGTGTCGTGTCGTGTCGTGTGGTTGGTCGGGTCGTGTCGTGTCGTGTGGTTGGTCGTGTCGTTGGTCGTGTCGTGTCGTGTCGTGTCGTTGGTCGGGTCGTTGGTCGTGTCGTTGGTCGTGTCGTGGGTAAGGGAGTACCGAGGAGCAGGAGGCAGCGGGCGGGGAAGGTGAAGGCGTCGAGGAGGGTGGAGCCCGACGTCTGTTCGACGCCCAGCAGGGCGTACCCCTCGGCCCGCTTCTGCCGCAGATACGCCACCAGCCCGGCCTCGCCCACCTACTCACACGCCCCCCCCCAAAGCCCAATTTTGTCAATGAATTGATTGTGACACGATCGGTTGCGTGTGCGTGCGTACGTGGGGTGTATGTGCGTGTGCGTGCGTGCGTGCGTGTGTGTGCGTGTGTGTGTGTGTGTGTGTGTGGTGTGTGTGTGTGTGTGTGTGTGTGTGTGTGTGTGTGTGTGCGCGCGCGCGCGCGCGCAGACTGACGCGTGCGTGCGTGGTGGGAGGGGAGGCCGGGCGGACCTCGACGAGGGGCAGCCACTTCTCGGAGGTGACGGCGATCGATTGGAAGACGGCCTCGCGGGTCACCTTGAGCGAGGGCAGCGCCAGGCACGACGCCCCGAAGATCTCGCACGTCCCTGTGGGCGGAGGGAGCGGAAGAAGCAGAAGAAGAAGAAGAAGGTGGACGACTACTTAGATGAGGGGGGGAGCTGATGGGGAGAGCTGTGCGACGCACGGGCGAGGCCGGCCAGGTTGGGCAGTTTGTCGACCAGGGAGGCCACCACGATCAGCTCCTGGCGCCGCTTACTCATCACCTGCTCCCTGCGCACACGCACACACCGCACACAGGGCACCGCACACGCCGCACACAGGGCACCGCACACTCGTGTCAGCCCATGTCCGGAAAAGCGCGTGGGAGGCCAAGGCGTACCTGGCCATCTCCTCCTGCTCCGCGTTGACGGCGACGCTCCACGGCGTTATCTTCTTCTGGAAGATGGCGGCGTCGGCCTTGGCCGCGACGGAGTCCCCCTCGATCGGCGGCGGCGGCTGCTGCGGTTGGGCGTCGGCGTCGGGCGAGAGCAAGAGCGTGCGGGCGGCCTCGTCGGGCCGTTGGCAGATGAGCGCGAACAGGTCCGGCCGGAGGCCCTCGCCCGACGACGAGAGCTCCATCAGCGGAATCCTGCACGTGCGTAGGTGTGCGTGTTGCATGCCGTGTGTGTCGTGTGTGTGTGTCGTGTGTGTGTGTGTGTGTGCGCGCGCGCGCGTGCGTGCGTGTGTGTGCGCGCGCGCGTGCGTGCGTGTGTGCGTGTGTGCGTGCGTGAGTCAAGAACCGCACGCACGACCGCACACTGCGTACTTAGCAGCAAAGTGAGTGAGCGAGTGAGCACCGGTGGAGGACGGCCTCGGGCTGGAGCTGCGACGTGGGCGACGTATCGAGCAGCAGCCACTCCGTGTGCTTGTCGAGCACCCTTCAACAAAAAGTCAATACAAGAACGAAAAGAACGAAGAACTAAGCACGAAGAGTGAAGAATGAAGGGGGGATAGCAATGAGGGTAAGAGAACTTTTTGCATTCGGCGTTGGTCTGCAGGTAGTGCACCACGGCGTTGATCTGCTGCCGCAGGCCCTCTTCGAGACTGTGGCAACCGCACACGCACACGCACACACACGCACACGCACACGCACACGCACACGCACACGCACACGCACGAGAAATGTGGTCAAGTTAGGCGCGGGTACCGAGTGAGGGGCGTGTAGGCTGGAGGTGTGGGTGGACCCGAGGAGAAAGTCGGGCCGGGCTTCGACGATTCGGGCGACGGCCGCCTGGGCGATGCTGCGGATGGTCGGGTGGTGGCACGTCAGGTAGGGCTGCACGCGCAGCCAGATCTGCATGAAGGCCGGGTGGGCCGTGTCGAGCGAGCGCAGGACCATGCCCGACACCACCAGCCCCGACGTGATCATCTCCGGCCGATCATTCACTCGCGACAGAAACCTATTAATTAAGTATTTTAAATATATCGATATAAAATGAATAAAAAAAGTAGGGGGTTACGTGAGGAAGTGGTCGAGGAGGGCGTCGGGTCGGTGGAGGAGGAAGTTGGCGCCGCACAGTTCGATGACGATGCGCACGTTGCGGAAGTTGGGCGTCTCGAGGGCCGCCAGCACGTGCGTACGGACCAGCTCGGCCACCCGCTCGCTGCGCCCCATGTACCGCCCCACGATCAGCCCGATCGCCTGCCACAACCGCACCTACGCGTGTCGTGTCGTTGCGTTAGCACATCGTGTGCGGTAGTGCGTGTGCGTGTGCGTGTGCGTGTGTCGGTGAGTACCCGCTTGCGGTGCTGGTGGGAGTGGAGGCGACACTCGGACGAGTTGGAAGGGCTTGCGTTGCACTGCAACAGGGCCTCCAGGATTTGTTCGACCAGGGCCTGGTGGTGGCGCTGACATTGCTCCGGCGCCGATTCGTCGCATTCGCCGTTCCACAGCAGAAAAGCCCAGACCTGGCCGCGCACGTACGCGTCCTGCATGCACAGCGAGCGCGGGTCCAGCGTACAACCTGACATGTTTCCGTGTGTGTCGGCGTGTGTGTCGTGTCGTGCGTGTGTCGTGTGCGGTCAGCAATATGAGAAAAAAAATTGGGGAGGAGGGGCACATACCCGACATCTCGTTCTCACCCTTCCGCACGTGGCCGAAGACGCACAGCCGCACAATCTCGGGAATGAAGTTCACCGCCGCCTGGCCACACGAAGTCCTTCAATCAGCGTGTGTCGTGTCGTGTGCCGTGTGCCGTGTGCATCGCGTGCGTCGTGTGCGTCGTGTGTGTTCGTGTGTGTTCGTGTGTGTGTCGTAGTGCGCTCACCTGGGGATGTTGTTCCCACACGCGTCTGAGCTGGCGGGCGAGCAGGCCAGCGGGACCCCGGAACAGCTTGCCGACGTGTCGCACGCCCCGGCAGTACTGGCGTAGGGGCGCGTCGGGCTCGCGGGAGAGGGCGGGCGTACACACGAGGGCCGGCTGGAAGGCCAGCCCCACGAAGGCGGCCGCCGTCCCAAAGTCGCGGCTCTCTTTCAGCGCCCTCCACGCCTGCTCCAGCACAGTCGCAACCTGCTCACATCACCATCGAACCGATCAACATGCATGCGTGTGTTGCGTGTGCGATAGTGCGTGTGCGTGTGCGTGAGCTGTGGTGCGTGTCGTACGAGTTCGAGATCGGCGTCGTCGTCGACGCGCTGATCTGGGAAGGCACAGGGCACGAGGGCTGGCGGTGTGGAAAAAACAAAGTCAGTTAAAGTAAGATAAATAAATAAAAGCGCAGGGCCGAGAGGGAAAGTGAAGTGGGGTGCGTGCCTCGGAGCGAGTGGAGGATGGAGACGATGCAGCGGGACTCGGCCGCCTGCAGGGCCTCGGCGCCCTCGCCCAATATCTGCAGCGCGACGTCCCGCCCGACGAGTGCGGCCGTGGCTGACGGAAGAGAGTCGACATCCGCACGGAGCAGCCGCGCGATGGTCTCCCACTTAAGGAGCATGTACCGAGAGAGCTGTGCGTGCCGGTCCCTCCTTCACGAAATGCGCGGAATGTGGGGTATGAGCAGCGAAGACTGGAATGTGAGAGTCGTGGTGTGCGATGTCGTGTACCCGCTGGAGGAGGAAGAAGCAGGGCTGCTCCTGGCCAGCCCCAGGACGAGGTCCGCCACCTTAAGTCCGGCGGGCTGGTCGCCAGCCGCTTCCGCCGAAGGATTCGAGCAATTCGCGAGGAGCGGCGCGGCGTGGTAGACGCCTTTGAGCATCTGCAGCGCCACATCGGGGCCGCCGACCTGCTGACGTGGCACGGAGAGCGATTGGTCCGGAGACTGGGCCAGCAGAAGCTCGACGAGGGACCGCAGCAGCGCATTGAGGGTCGCACGCAGCGGCGTCGAGTGCTCGTCGTCGGGACGTGGTGGTGGTGTCGACAGCGACAGGAGCATGGCCGCCGCGCTGGCCTTGAGCGACGCGCGCAGGAGGTCGGGCTCGGCCCCGGCCAGCGCCGAGCGCAGCCCCGAGCGCAGAGCATCGACCACACGATCCGGTACCGTCCCTGCTGGCCAAGTGGCGATGTGTCGCATGCGAGTCAGTGCCACGTCAGCATGCGGTCATTGGGTTGGGCCCTCCGGGTGAGGGGCGCAGACCGTGATGAGCGGCGAGCGAGAGGACAGACACGACGAGGGTCCAGGCACTGCGACTCTCGCGCCTGCGGGAAAAAATCACATTGCTCAGATTCCATCGAGAACAACGACAAAGACGGCTGAAGGTTTACCTGATCTGGTTGAGAATGTCAGCAATAATACGGTCCTGCGCGTCGGAGTTGGGTACGAGCGCGAGCATGCGCGCGACGCGATCGGTCTCGTGCTCGGTCTGCAGCGGGATGTACTCGTCGGCCCACAGCCGCTGCAGGTCGGCCGCCACGAAGTCGGGCAGCTGGGCCACGCCCGCGTGCGCGCCCAGTGCGAAGGCGGCCTGCATGAGCGACCACCCGGCCGACGCGCCGAGACCGAGCAGCTCCTCGGGCAGCAGTGCGAGAGCCCGCTTCACCCCACGCAGCAGTAGGATGCACTGTTGGGTCCGTTGGTCGTCGCCACTGAGAGCGGCTGCCTCTCTGTACGTGGCCGACAGACTGTTGGCCAACAGCACCAGCGCCGACCCATTCAATTCTCTTCGCTGTGACTGTGGCCTGCGTCGTGTGTGCCATGTGTCGTGTGCGTGCGTGCGGTGGCGTGTGCGGTGGTGCTGGGTCAGCTCAACTTTGAGCTGGCGGCGGCTTAAGGAGGCGCAGGGTACTGGAAGTTGATGTGGCTTTCGATGATGACGAGCAGGTCGTCCAGGGCGCTCGAGGTCGATATGAAGAGCGCGAGCGGCGGAATGGTCTGCAGGAATTCAAAATAGGCCGCCAGCGCCCCGCTCGCGAAGGGCTTGTGGCCCGCGATCGCGCCCAGGAGCGACCGAACGAACCCCACCTGCGCCTGCATCGCATCGGGTTAGGTTGCGCTTAAGGTGGCGCTTGAGGTGGCCGTAGGGGCTGGCGGTGGCGTACCTGGTGGTCGGGCAGGGCATCGAAGAATGCGCCCAGGAATGCGACAAGCAGTCGGTCGGTGACTCGGCTGAGCGAACCGCGGAAGAGCGACGGGTCGCAGCACACCTCCATTACGGTGCCGAGCACGAACGACTCAGTCACATTCCGTGCATACTCGGCATTGTGGAGTACGTGTAGCAGCGCGTGTTTCTGGGTGATCGGGTTCTCGTGTCGCAAGGCGCGCTCCAGCAATGCTTGCGCCCAGCTGAGATCCATCGCAGTGCCCTCCTTTAAAGAACGAAAAGCGAAAGCGAACGGTAAAGAGCGAAGACACACACAAGCATGCGGGTCGAAGTAGTACCCGAGAGGCCTGGAAGAGAGCGGCCAGCTGCGGCCACAGCGGGGCCACGAGGTGGTAGTTGTACTCCTCGAGCGACTCCTGGAGCAGGAAGAAGGTCTCCCACCGCTTGGCCCACGCCTTGTCGTTGCTCTTGACCGGCCACGAGAAGTACCTGCCGGTCGAGAGATAAATAAACTGTCAGGGTGGCGCCGATGCGACGTGGTGTAGCGGCGTGGTACTTGGTTTTGAAGTCGAGCGGCGTCGCGGGGTCGGCGGCTTGTCGGGTGTGCGCCAACACGCGCTTCAGCAGTAGGTTGGCCAGCTTGCGCACACCGCCGTCTGAGCTGTAGAACCCAACCTACGATCGCGCCCTTATATCAATCACTCTCACGACGAAGCGGTGTCGTGTGTGTGTCACGAAGTACGTGCGCACCTGTAAGAAATGCCAGAACTGATCGTCGGTTCGTAGGTCGAACGAAGAGCTGGCAGCGAGGAAGTGCTCGACGAACTTGGCCATCAGGAGGTACGCGTCTCCCTCAAATGTGCGGTGGTGCTGGTGGGCGGGGCCTCGATTCCTTCCCGCCATCCACATCTTGTGCACCTCACGCCACAGCCTCTGCACCGGAGAACGTCAGTTGGTGTGCGTGTGCGGTGGTGCGTGTGCGGTGGGGCGTGTGTGATGGTGTATGTGCGGTGGTGCGTGTGCGTGTGCGTGTGCGCGGTGATCAATACCTCAAGGTGGACGGCCGAGGCGTCTTGTGGTCGCGCGAAGAAGGCCGGCAGCAGCTCGTGGAACACCACGCGCCGCACGGAGTTGTCATCGGTCCACAGCAGAGCGAGCATCGGCTCCAGCACGTCGTCCCTAAACCGCACAACCTGACAAGGCACCACCAAACGCTTAGAATTCCTTGCAAGCCTCGTGATGGAATGTCAAGAATCGCAACGGGTGGGCTCTGCGTACCTGGGGATCGGCCGGCTCTGTCCGAAGCAGCTCGCGGAGCAACAAGAACGGGCCCTCGTGCGGCCGCGCCTGATCGTCGCCGTCGGCGCTGCTCGTACCACTGCGCTGGAAGCGGGCCGCCAGAATGCGCGCTTGGTCGCGTGCCAGGTCGAGCAAGCACGCGCCGAGGCGCCTGGGGCCTTCGTCATCAGCCAGACCACTCGCCTCCAAAGGGTCACCACGCGCGACCATGTCGACAAGAAGAGTACAGGCGCGTTCCATGGCCTGTGGCAAGCTGCCGGCGGGCGGGGTGGCGTCGTCGGCCTCGTTCGCTTCCTCTTCTTCTTCTTCTCCTTCTCCTTCTCTGGCCTTCGCCGCGGCGACGGATCCGACGGATGGCGTCAACCCCGAGTCCTTGCGTGGCCGAATGGCGAGAATGGGAAGGCATAGGTCGGCTGCCAGCTGGCGTTCCATTCGCGCAGCCCTGTTTTCGTCTCCCTGGATCACGCACACGCAACACACGCACGCACACGCACGCACACGCACGCACGCACACGCACACATTGCGCCTTGGCGGTTAGAGACAGGTACTCTCGAGGGTTGCGGGAGGCCACAAAGCGTACGGTGAGCAGAGCGCGGCGCATGAGAACCGATGCTGCGCTCAGAAAGAGAAGCGAGCGGCCCTCTTCCTCGGGGGCGCGTCCGCCTGCAAAGGATCGCAGGAGCTCCGCCAGCCCGGCCTCTTCGCCACCCTCCGGCACCCACACCTGGCCGCACACGCATTTTAGTATTTATTTATATATTCGTAATTGGTTGAGCGTGCCTGTAAGAGGGCCGGAAGCGCGGCATCGTAGAGGAAGTGCAGGGGTAGCTGGCCACTTGTCTCAAAGACGAGCCCGCGGAGCCGTTCCGCTTCGGCCACCAGCCTCGGCACCCACCCCGCCTGCTCCTCCATTTCTCGTGCAATGTAAAAAGAAAACAAGAAAAAGCAAATTCCTCGATTTTCTTGATAACGTGCGAACAGGACCAGAAGAAAGCGACCAAGGAAGTGAAGGAGAGAGGTGAACTAAAGGCGGAGAAGAGGCAGCAAAAGAAAAGGATACGGCACGGTGGATTCCCGGGTGGTCGCCCACCCCAGTACTAACACCGCCTGGCGCAGCTTAACTTCGCTGTTCGGATGGGAAGCGGTGCTTTCTGCGCAGTATGGCCGTATCCATCAACCTCACGGGCTCCCTTGTCCATATGGCTTGCGTGGCTGATGGCTTCTGAAGGCTGATGGCTTCTGAAGACTGGGATCAGCGCAACGTTCAGATTCTGTTCTGTTTGTTTGGTTACGTGAGGCAGAAACCATAAAGTGTGATTATTATTGTTATTAGGCAGACAGAAGTGGGTGGAATCGGGTGGGGAGCTCGGCCTTGTGGGGCGCGAGGATGGACCGGACGTGGGCCGACGCGCCTTCGTCGTTGAGGAGGGCCACCACGACGTGGGCCGCCTCCTTCTCCTGCGCGTACTGAACGAGGGCATCCCCGAGCGCCTTGGCCAACAGCAGACCAAAGCCGGGCGCTGCACACACAACGCGCACCACGTCAGAAGGATTGAAATGTGGAATGCAGCCACACGCCACCAGAAGCTGCTGCGGCGAGGGCTTGGTACCGAGCTTGAGGAGGCGCTTGTAGAAGCGACTGGCGACGAAGTCGTCGAGCAGCTGGGCGTTGCCCTCCCTGGTGACCTCGTGCACCAGCGCACTGCGCAGCTTCTCCTTGTTGGCGTCTGCACTCGATGTGTGCGTGTGCGTGTGTGCGGTGGTGCGTGGATGGTGAGTGCGAGTGTCTCACGTGAAGCATAACGGGTTCATGGTGGCGAGGTGGCGAGATGGCGTGTACCAGAGGCGTGGAGGGCGAGCTCCAGCACGACGAAGTTTCCGTACTGCGACATGATCAGCGACTGCAACAGGCTGACCTCTTCGGAGCTCTGCTCACCGGGGAGCAGCACCGACATGATCTCGGGCATGAGACCATCCAAGAGCTCCTTCCGCCGAGCGTCGGGCTCCTTCTTGCTGCAAAGCGACGACATATAAATGTGAGAAAGTGCTCACCACAGTTAGTTCCCCCCCTGATATGTTGGAGTGCGATGGTGGTTTGAAGGGTACCTCGTGGGCACGGGAGCTGCCGCGGGATCGTTGGACGGGAAGAAGGCGGGCTGGAGCTGCTTGATCGTGTCCTGCAACAGAGAAACAATCGATGATGAGTCGAATGAAATTGTGGTGTGTCAAGAACAAGAAGTGAAACAAAAAAAGTAGCTCGAAATAAATAGAAAATACTAACCTGTGAGTAGTAGCGAGGGCTGCATGGTGTGAGGAGGTGCAGGAAAACGAGGCGACCCGTCCGGTTGGAGAGGACCTGCAGGAGCTCCTCCTTGTCGCGCATCAGCTCCTACACGTAGAAGATGACATGAAAGCGTCAGTTCGTCCGCCAAATATATAAAGAAAGAAAGAAAAGAAAATCAACTCTATTACACCACTGCCACCAAGCGTCAAACAACGTACGTTGTAGAGCGCCTTGCGCACGAGCACTGTGTCGTCGGTGACGTCGATCAGGCGCAGAAGCACCAGGTGGCCGTACTCTTCGAGCGCAATCTTCACAACGAACGATTTGAACGACTGAACGAACCAAACGTACCACACACCGAAATGTTAGTTCTGTTTACAAGCCGCCGCCGCGCGGGAATGGGGTACCTTGATGACGGCCTTACGGTCCTTGGGCGAGCCGTACGTGACGCACCAGGCGCCGATCTGGGCGCCCTCCTTGGTGTGCAGGATGTGGACCACGTGATCGCGCAGGGTCTGCGCCATGTCCTTGACCTCGGACGGCGACAGGAATGTGATGTAGTCCAGCAGAATGCGGTGCACGATCGAGTGCGCGAGCAGGCCCTGTGACCCAGGAGCAGGAGCAGGAGAAAGAATTTGGAACGTGAGCCCTCCGCGTCGCACGCACTCGCGTGGTAGCGATGAGATGCGATACCTTCTCCAGGACAGCGCGCACGACGACGCCCAGGTCGCGCATGATGACGGGCTTGAGCTCGGGCTTCTCCTCGAAGAGCTGTAATCGCAGAGTCGGATCAGAAAACAGTCGCGTGCGTGCCAACTACCAACGACCGCGTGCGTGCCGGGCGAGTTCGTACCTCGTCGAGCGGCCGGCCGGAGTGGAACAGCGCGTACTGAGGGCCGTAGAACTCGGCCAGGAGAGAGCGACGCTGTGGGCCGTTGGCGGCGGTGGTGTAGGCGAACTCGAGCACGGGCGCGGCATCGCGGTGCCTCACCAGCTTGCGCACGCGGCCGTGGAACTCCTTGAGAATCTTCTCCTTCACCTCGGAGCTGCCGTACCTAAGCATGGTCACCACGAGATGCTTGGCATACGGGCTCTTGGCCAGCGCCAGCATCTTGCCTGTCATCACAAGCCCGACGTAGCGATGACCGTGAGCCAAGGAAGCGCAAGCAGGCCACACGGCAGAGGGATACTGGAGAAGAAGTTGGGCGCCAAGGGGTACCCGACAGCTCAGTCATGACTTCGGCACGCTCGTCGGCGTCACCGAACTTGACAAGGGCCTGAATCACTCGCGAACCATCGTGCTTGCAGATAATCTAAGTTTTGCAGAAATCGTGAAGGTGATTAGCATTTTAATGATCACTGGGCAAAAGAAATGATGTGAATCGCTTGAATTCCTGATAAAATCTGTAATAATAGTAGAAAATCTGACCAAGATAAAATCTGATATTTACCTCCAGCATCTGGCCGCGGCAGATTTTGAGGAGGGCGGTGACTTGCGCGCTTCGTTCCTTCTTGGTAATGTCTTTCCGGCGAATGGCCTCCCACAGTCGCTTGGTCTCAATTAGCAGCTCGCCTCCCTTCTTCTTCACCTGACGCTCCTTCTTCCTCTTCTTGTGCTTCAGTCCGGGCTTGGTTCCCGCAGCTCCGCCCGCCTTTCCATCCTTGCCCTTGTGCGTCTTTGCTCCGCCACCATCCTCCCTTCGCCTCTTCTTGCCCTGTGTGCTCGACATGCCTTCTTCCTTCTCTGCTAATCAATCGCTCTACGCGATCTTCTTTCTCCGTAGCGCGAGCCTGCGTCCGCAAGAAAAAATAGAGAAACGGAAGCCCAAAATTATTTCGAAATCGCGTCTCGAAAACTTGTCTGTTTCCGAAATCGATTTCGGAATTCGAAACGTGATTGCCGTTGGGTTGCGTGAAGATACAACGACAGGACATCCGCCAGAAGATGGAGGCCACGTCTCGCCAGCAACCTTCGTTACCACACGATCGGCATTCAGCCACCACCAACGGGTCGCGTGGCGATCGAACTCGAAGCAGCCAGTCGCGGGGTGGAGGAAAATCGCGAACCCATTCCGCAGGAGGAGCCAAGGCGGGCGGGGGTGGAGAGGACGTGCCGACCACGGAGGAGCTGAGGGGTGCTGTGTTCGCCCCTGGGACCACGTTTCGGGTCAAGGAGAAGGTGGCCGTGCCTCGGTCGCGCGGGGGCTTCACCCTGGGCTACATCTCCAAGCCCGTGCCGCGTCGCCACTGCTACGTCGACCCCACCACGCCCATCAGCGCCAACCACCAGGAGTGGAGGGTACGAGAGCTCTCGATTCATCTCCCAGACTTCCATCCTCTCCATCTTCTACGTTTGGAGATACATATCTTCCTCGTGCGCATTTGATGCTGAGAGCTGTGGTGCACAGGTGGTGTACAAGAACGGGAAGGGCGAGCCGCTGTTCAAGGACCTGCCGCCTGCCAGCTTGGGCAAGCTCCGCCCGGCTGCGGGTCCGAAGCCCGTCGCCATCCTGAGCCGCACCGCCCACGCCGCAGCGGCCGCTGGCGGGCAGCAGCAGGAGCCGCCCAAGAGCAAGAGCCCCGAAGAAGAAGGACTCGATGACAACTCGGGCAGCAGCCCCTCCAGCAGCGGCGGAAGCGGCAGCGGCAGCGCTGGCGACGCGCGCGATGCTAATGCCGACGGCAATGGTGATGGCGACGACGGCGATGCCGGCGAGATCTTCGTGTTTCGCGGTGTGCACTCCACGCCGATCATCGAAACGCCGCCGCCGGTAGTCGAGAATGGCAAGCATGCGCCCGCGGCAGCTGACGTGATGACCACGCCCGCCGCTTCGGTGTTGATGCAGCCGCCGCCATCGGTCGCGCCCGCGGAGCCGACCGAGCGCCGGCTGGGCGGGCAGGTGATCGAGAAGGACCTCATGGCGGTCTCCTTCTCGCCCAACAACACGTTCAGGGAGGGCGAGCTCGTGGTGGTGCCCCGATCGGCCGGCGGGTTCACCTACGGCACGGTGCAGGGACGCTGCGAGTGCGCGTGCCCGATCGGCCCGCCGGCCCACAAGCACCTTGGCTGGCGAGGTACCACTACCTACCATGATCGGCCGGGTCTCGTATGCACGTGCGGCCGGCTGACTGACGTGTTGTGTGTGTTGTGTGCGTGTGTGTGTCTTTGGAATGCAGTGAATGTGGACCAGGCCACGCCCAAGTCCAACTTCAAGGACATCTTCTCGGCGCACCTCGGTAAGCTCCACCTCGCCGAAGCCACGCCCTCGACGCCCGCTGCGCCCGCCAACGGCGTTCGCGGCGCCAGCTCGGCCCCGTCGCCGCGGCGCAAGGATAACGCTGGCCAGCAGCAGCAGCAGCGCCAGACTGCCGCCGCTGCTGCCCCCAAGTCCGCCGCACCTTCGCATCGCCCGCACCGAGCGCGCAACTACGAGTTCGCCGAAGTGGACGACAGCGGCGCCGCAGTGGCCGGCTCAAGCGGCGGCAGCCGCAAGCCCGCGCCGACCTTCAACCAACCCGATGAGTACGACTTCCACTTCACGGGCCAGCAGCAGGGGTCAACGATCGTCAACGGCGCGACCAAATACGACCAAGTCGATGACGACGACTACTTTGACGAGTACAACGATGATGGCAACAACGCTGCTGAACGCCAGCCCGCCGTGCCCACGTTTTCTGGCCTTTTTGGTTCCTCGGCGGCGCCCGCGGCTGCGCCAGCCTCGCGCAGCCCTGTCAGGCCGCCCCAGGCTCAGCAGGGCCAAGGCCCTGCGGCGCCCAGACCCGAGTCCTCTGCGGTTTCGTCGAAGCCGCTCGACACGGGCAAGAAGGGCGTGCTGACCGTGCCGCACATGCCGCAGCAGCCCACCAACAAGAAGGCTCATCACCACCAGCAGTACAACCACTACCAGCCGAGGCGCACTCTGTCCCTCGGGCAGCGCACCTTCAAGGAGCGCGGCCCGCGGGTCCACGTCGAGAAGCCCGAGATCGTGATCGACGCACCCAACGTGGCCATGGTACGCTCTCGTCCACATTCCTCGCACATGCCAGGCATTGCTGACAGTCACACGCGCACATTCCTCGACCGCCAGCGGCATGCCAACAACAAGAAGGTGAGCGTGCGGGGCATCCAGCTGGCCATCCAGTACTGGCAGAAGAAGGGCCACCAGGTCATCGCCTTCATCCCCGAGCACTACCTCCACCGCAAGGCCCCGCCGCCGGACAAGGAGCAGACCCTGGGGGAGTACATGCCCATGGCCGACAACACGGAGCTGCTGGCCCAGCTCGTCGACGACGGCTCGGTGGTACTCTGCCCGCCTCAGGACTACGACGACTCCTACTGCATCGAGTACAGCAAGAGGTGCGTCCGTCACCCCCCCCCCCAGTCTGCAGTTGCTCACCACACACGACACACACGACACACACGACACACACGACACACACGACACACACGACACACACGACACACAGACACACACGACACACACGACACACACGACACACACGACACACACGACACACACAATACGACACACAGACATGGCGCGTACATCGTCACGAACGACAGGTACTGGGATCACATCGCCAGGCAGCCCGAGGACCAGCGCGCCGGCGTGACGAGGTGGCTCCGGGAGCACTGCATCTCGTTCACCTTTGCCAAGAACGAGTTCCTGCCCAACCCCGACTTCGCCTTCCTGCCGGCCGTGCCCCAGGCCCAGGGCGGCGAGAAATAGGCCCCGGCCGCCGCCGCTGCGATCCGCCCCCCGACAAAGAGCGCCACGCAGAGCCCGAACAACCTCCCCACAACGCAACGTCAGGTCGTCGCACTCCATCCGCCGACGTCATTCCGTCGTCGCCGCGCCAACCGATCTACTTCCGTTCTACGCACATCCGCACCCGCATCCGAGCAAGTGTGCCACAACAGACCAGCACCACCAGCAGTAGCACTTGGACAGACACCAGCTCTCAGCCTGACCACTTCACCGAGCTGGGCGCGCCACCGCGAGACCTCGTCGCCACTCTTCCCACATCATCATCATTCAATTTATTATTTTAAACAAAAATGAAATGATTTCGTTTTACACTTTTTGTTGTTGTTGTTATTACAAGATAATCATTGTGGCGGCGGCTTGTTAGCGGGAGACGCGGTGGCGGTGGGTCTTCTTCAGCCGGTACCACGGTTGCCGGGGCTTGTGTACTGGAGGCACGTAATCAGTTTGGCCGCGTTGGGAGGTGCTCCTGGTTTCCGATAAGCTGACCTGCAACCAGCCCAGGTATTTCCTGGGCGTGTGGTTGTGCACGTGCATGTGGGGTGAGTGTGTGCGGCGTCGGCGACAAACAACAAACATTTTGGCTGAAGGAACTGCGTACTGGCACGTATTGAGCGGATTCTCCTTCCACCCCACATGCGCCTCGTCAGCCTGTGGGTACCCTGTATAAGAAGAAAAAGAGGGAGAGAGCTTGAATTCCTGGTCGCAATGCAACAGTACCACCAATCAACACCGTCGGAGAGGGAGTAGTGCGTACTTTCCATGAAACCGCCGAACTCGTTGAGAGAGATGGCGCTGTAGGACAGACGAAGGGTGTAGCCCACGTAGAACAGCGACGCCACTTCGATGGCGAGTAGCAAGTAGAGCCACAGACCAACCCACCGCAGTCCCGACGACGAAGACGACGACCGCGCGCTCGAACCTGCCGACGACTTCATCGACGACCGGAAGGCCTGGTAGCCTGACGACTTGCCCGACAGGCTCCGGCTGCGCTGCCACAGCACCCGCTTGCGCATAAAGTTGGCCCCGCTCGCCGCACTCACGCTGGCCCGCCGACTGGCGTCACCGGCCAGGCCCTGGACCCCGCCCACCATCGGTCCCTCCTCCTCCGACTCATAGTCGCTGCTGCCCATCTCCGAATCGTAATCGGCCAACTGGTCCACGTCATCGGATGACGTCAGCGCCACCATCTGGGCCGCCTCCCGCGGCGGGCTGTTGGTCGGGGTCTCGAGGTTGTTGCGGGCCGCCAGCAGGCGCAGCGGGCTCTGCGAGCTGCCGCGCTCGTGGGTGAACTTGACCTCGATCTCGCCGTCGGAGAAGGACTTGGCCAAGGGGATGAAGTGGGTCCCGAGGTCTACCGAGGCCGAGCGCGGCGGCGACGGGCGGTTGGCTGCGGCGATGGCGTGGGCGACAGCGCCGGCCATGGACCCGGCCAGGCGGCTTCCCAGCGAGGCCTCGGCCCGGGCGCGCACCGGCACGGACGACGCCGAGAAGGACAGGGGCGACGTGTAGGCGTTGGTGTAGGCGTTGTAGCTGTTGAAGAGGTTGGCCTCGTTCGAGTCGCTGTCGCTGGTGTTGGGGCTCGTGGCCTCTTGTTGTTGGTGGTGGTGGTGTTGATGCAGTTGCTGCTGCTGCTGGTCGAAGAGTTGGCGAGGGGCTAGCTTGGCGGACGGTGATAAAGTTGAAGAAGATGATGGTGAAGATGCCGCAGAAGGTGATGGGGAGGACGAAGACACCCTTTCGCCATGGGGCGAGCGAGTTCGGTGTGTTGGGGCCGACTCGGAAAGCACCGTGTGCCGCGCCGTGGATGATGGAGAAGAAGACGATGATGATGAATCGTCGCCGCTCTTGTTGTGGAACGGCCTCAGGTGGTCAAAGTCGTCCAAGAGGGCTCCGTTTTGGGCGGTGGTCGATTCCTGGAAGAAGGAGTCGAAGCTGCGCGGCCTCCACCTCGAGTCGTCCTCCGATACAGAGCTTGACCGGGAGCCCGACGATGAGAGGGGCGATGTCAAGACGTCCTCCTTGGCCGCTGAAGGTCCCTTGTAGCCCGAGTTGGCCCTCAGCCGCCTCAATATAGGGCTGTAGTTCACCGGACTGTTCGCCATCTCGACTATTTGTGTTCTATTTGTTCTACTTCTACAGACAAAAATACAATCACGTCTCCCCCACCACCTTCTGGTTTGCTGTTACTTTTTTTGAGTTGTTGTCGTCGTCGTGTTGCTGTGTGCGACCTATTCGAAGGCTTGGCCTGGGCGCGAACAGCTCCACCATCGCCCTTTCGCCCCTGGTTACAGACCAAACTTGAAAAGAGGATCATCTGAAAGTCCTTAATTCAGACCCTCACATTCCACAAATTTCCCATGTGTCGGCCAATCTCGAATGAAGTCTTGTGATATTGTACCATTTATTCAGTCGTGCTCGAGGCCTGGTGCAGCCTACGAATAGACGATTTTGCAGTTTCGATCGAAGGTGTTTTTATTGGGGTTATTTGTCCGGGTGGAGCTGCAGTTCTCTCCTAAGCCATGACCTCCACCTTGGGGGCGACGTTGTGGGGCTGTGGTACCACCGGGTGCTCGTCCGACATCCTGCCCTTCTCAACTGCTGCTGCCGGTTCGGGCTGATGATGGTGGTGATGATGATGATGGAAGAGGTTGGAGAGGAAGTGGAACGGGTTGTGATGGTGATGCTGATGGTGTCCTTCTTCGTTTGTGTCGTGCTGCTTGGCCTGCACCTGGCTCTCCTTCTCGACCGCCGCCGGCGCGCTGTTGTTGTTCTTCGGATTCACCTTCTTCTCCTCTTCGCCCTTGCTGTGGTGGTGCTCGACGTCGGCCTTGGGCTCCTTGTGGACGATCTCGTGGCCGAACTTGATGTCGAGACGCAGGCGACGACCCAGCAGCGGGATGCTCACCCGCTTCGTCTCCTGCTTGGCCACCTCCGGCGCCGAGTTGCGTCTCCCAAGAGGCCTCGGCCCGCCTCCACCAGATGAAGAAGATGAAGACGATGAAGATGAAGAATGATTGTCGTCGTCCGCTATTTCGCGCACGGCCTGCACCGGGGCGCTGCCGCCCTGATCCAGGGTGGCCCCGAGGCTGGCGCGGACGTCATCGCCGCCGTGGTGGTCGTTGTTGTCGACAAGAAGACCAGCAGGCGCTGACGAGCACTGGGCATCGCCGAGTCCTCGCTTCCTCCTCCTCACCTTCTTCCCGCTTCGCTTGGTCGAGGCCTTGGACCCACGCGACGACGAACTCGCCGACGATCCTTCGTCGCTGCCGCTGGACGATACCGTGGACTGCCTACTCTTCCTCTTCTTCGGCTCGGTGGTAGTGGCAGTGGTGATGTCGTCGCTGGTCGGGTTCGACAGGAGGTCGTCGGCATCGCTGAACGAGCCAGCCCCACCTTCCTCCTTGATGCCGATCGGGACGACCGTCGCTCCCTGAGCCAGGGAATCCTCCTGGCCGGGCACTAGCGGACCCTCAGGCTCTACTTCGTCTTGGATGCACACCTCCATCGTTGCAGACGATGATGAAGTTGATGTTGTTGGTTGTGAATGTAGTGTGATGATGATGTTAAAAAGAAATAACAACCAGAAGGCCCACCACCGGGCTTTTATGGGTGTAGGCGGAGTGCTGGGCAGACCAATGCCCGCACCTCGGACCCGGTTCGCTGGCATTTCCCGGGAATTAGTGTTAAGGCCATTCTCCGGGCCGTCAGCGCCTGCGGGCACTCCTCCGCCTTTCCCGCCTCCGGACCCGGAGGCCCAACGGCGTGTGCGTGTGCGGCGGCACGGCAGAAGAACGTTCGCGTGTGTCATCGTCAGCAACAGGACGGCCACCATCTACGAACGGTCAGGGCTGCCCTTTCGCCCGAAGCCAGTGTAGGCGAGCCGAGATCTGGCGCAACGCCACGCGCGGGTGCGTCCGTGGATGGGAAAAGTCGGCTCAAGTGCCACCGCCTCTTGGCGAAGCGCCGAACATGAAACAGAAAGTGGCCGGTCCAGTGGGCACTTGGCGTGTCATTGTCGTCTTCAAGAAGACGGAAGCATGTCTTGAAAGATCCGCGGCCGTAAGATGGTGAGGGATCAATGGCTGGCGACTGAGAGGCGAGGGGTGTACAACGGTATGTAGAGTAATGTATCAATCAACTCTGCAGAGTTGGCGTCTATTTACATGAAGTGGTGTATTATGTACATGTGTACGTCGTCGTGGCATCGCTACGATCGCGTGTGCTGGTGACGCCGAGAGAAGAGGGGGAGAGAGGGAGAGAGGGAGAGAGAGAGTCGCACGATGTGAGCCGTGCCGTCTCTCCAAAATTGTGGTGGAAGCGCGTCGGATGAGCGCCTGGTGTTGGGTTGGGTTCATCGCGCCACGCCGCCACGAGCCGGGCAGCAATCGTTGTGCGAGCAGCTGCCCCTTCTGGTTGTGATCAACAATAACAGGTGAGTGCATTGATCATTGATAATTATCATCAAGGAGATTGTAGACGGCACAGTGTGAGGGTAGGTCGCTGCGTACGTTATGGTGTGTGCAGGAGAAGGCGGTGTCCGTCCGCGAGGCGAACCTCACACTTCGAGTACGTGCGCTACGCTTCGAATCGGGATCTCCTTCATCTCTTGCCGCCAGCACAGGTACTCGCCCAACACTGTTTGTTGGTTACGTGCAGAGCAGCAAAGAGTCGTGAGCGATTACTTTCATGATGTAGAAGAAGTAGATAAGAAGTAGATGAAGAAGTAGGGCAGTACGAAACGAGAATCTACTTACGCACGCGTAGTTGGGATGAGGAGGGAGGACGTACTGGTCATGCAGAGGAGAGAGAAGAGCATGAGCAGCCACCAGAGCCAGGCCGTTGGGAAGCCAGCGTAAACGAGGCAGCCCAGGAAGTGGAAGAGGTGGATGGTAGCCGCGAAGTCCAGGCACTTCTTGGCTCGCTCGACCACCGTGACAAGGAAGATGGCACTGTGCGTACATGCATGGAATGAGCGACAATAAATTATATTCATGTTCGGATAAAGCGATTACAATGAAGAGAATTGGATGTACCAGGTAATGGAAGTAAAGGTGAAGGCGAGCAGCACAACTACACTAGGCGCATCGTTGAGCCCAACCGCACCAGCGCTGAAGATTTGTTCGAGAAAGATGGGCACGCCGAGTAGGAAGCCGAAGAAGAAGAGGAAGAAGCCCATTGAGCAGTAGAAAAGACTCTGCATGACCACTATCTGCAGCACAATGAGCCATGGGTCGAATGTGGAGTTGTAGAAGCGCGTCATGCTCCGATGTGAACTATTGATTTAAATTAAATGGTGGGCGGCTTTTTGATGATCGAGCGTTCGCTGAAGAGGTGAGAAGTCGCCGCCGAGAACGCTCGAGATGTTCAGAGGAGAAGCGAGGATGCAAGACTCGTTTGTGGATGCGATGTTGTGTACGGAAAATGAACAAGGAGAACGAAGAAGCTTCCAGCACGAGACGAATTCTCGAATCTCGCACAGGCAGCTCCGTAGCCCAACCGGTCTGGCCGCAGCTTGTGCTCAGTCGAACGAAATTTCTGGCCAATTCAAAGCCACCAACACACCGTAGAAAACTCGCGTGTGAGCCGCGAGCTGCTTGTGTTCTCAGTTACAGGCCATCATGCGCAACACGTGCCTACGTGTACACTATATCATAAGATATATTTGTGACACATACATGTACAATATATCTCGTTTTATTTGTTGGTTCCCCTGTTTGTGCGTTTGGCAAGCCTCCTCTTCGTCACTCCTGAATCTGCCGCCGGCCTTGGCTTGCTGGTTTTCTCGTTTTCCTGTTCGCTATCATCACCATCATCACGGCCACCGCTATCATCGCCATCGCCATCATCATCAGCTTGATCATCGTCGTCGTTGTCGTGACGTATGGCGTCCTGGAGTCGCTTCAGCAGGACGGCCTTGGCGCCCGTGGTCCTGAGCCCTCGCTTCCTGAGGGCGACCACCAACTCGTCCCGCTTCAGCGCCTCCAGATCCCTCTCGTCCCGCCGCTGCTGCTTCTTCTCGTCCGCCTCGTCAACTCGTCGCCGTTTGGCAGTCCCGCGCTGCTTCCGCTTGCCCGCCGCTTCCTTTTCATCATCATCACCATCTACATCCTCTTCCTCGCCGTCTGTCTCCTTGCTCTTCTTGGTTCCCCGCCTCTGTTTCCGCTTGTTGCTGTTGTTGTGGTTGTCGTTGTTGTCGTTGTTGTGCTCTCCGCCTCCGCTTCATCGTTCTCTCCCGCGAGAGCATCGGACGCCGGGATGACCGCGGGAATTGGAATCTGTCGGCATAGAAAAGTACATAGAACGTGGTCAGACCACCACGCAGAAGACTCGAGGAGACGCATCGCCACTATTGTCTATTGGCAATCACAGCTGCTTCGACGGTACGCACCTTGCTGTCGCTGGCGCTGCGTCGTTGGTAGAAGAGCATGTAGGCCTGTGCCGATGCCGCCTCCTGTGGAGACGAAACGGACACTCGGCAGTCGTTGAAGTGCAGCCAGGTGCCCTGCTCCGTGTGGTAGCAAAATGCGGTGTAATGGCCCGCAGACGGCCTGTGCGTGGAGGAGGGAGCGGCGAGGTGAGCGTCGTTCCCACTCGCACGTTGGCAGTGCAACGAGGAATGGCGCTGGGCCGCTGCCGCGGTGCCGTACCCCGATCCGTGGTGGATGACGACGCTGCTGAGGTCGAATATGGCATTCTCCCGCTCTTCGCTGCAAAAGGCGGACAGATCGAGACCACTGCCGGAGTGAAGCCCGTGAACGTGTTAGCGAATGGGGGGAAATTGAGATATATATATATAGGGGGATGGGGCGCACACGGCGACGTACATGAGCGGGAATAGGACCTTGGTGTCCACTTTGGCCCGAGAGGTCGTCGTCCAGCAAAATCGCTTCAAAACTACACACAGGACCTATACATTCATTGAGCAGCCGGCGCACACCAGAAAAAGAGTGAGCTCAAACTGGGGAGTGGAGGGAAGTAAAGGCGGGTGTGTGTGGAGAAGCGCGTGTACGTCTGGAAGGGTTTGGATGGCGAGCCGCTTCGAGGCGTCCTGATTAGATTTACACTTTTCACAATAGTAGCCGGTCAGCTTCTCGGGCCACGTAAAACTGTCGAGGCAATCTGTTGCGTTTAAGGTGTTCGAGAAGAAAATGGTGAAGGCGGCGGGTGAGACGCATCGCTAAAGCGGAGGGCACGTGCGCGTTGAAAAAAAAAATCGAATTATGTACCGTAGAGGCTGCACGACGGCACGTTGGTCTTCCTGTTGCCACGGGTGGAGCGCGAACCACCCGCGTGCTGGATGGGTATGTCCAGCAAAAGGTCTGGTATCCAAACAATGCAAAAAAATAGAGAGAAAAGAACTGATCAGTTGCCATTTCGGCCGATGAGTCGCTGGTGCTGGTGCTGGTGCTGTTGCGAGCGTACCGAGATAGGGTTCTCGCCGGCTGGATACGTTGCCGCACGCCGAGCAGGTCACCTGGCTCAACAGCTCCCCGTTGAACGTCTTGCTGATTATGCTCTCCCCTTGGCGTTTCTGGCCGCTCGGCGACGCGACCACCTCTCTACCGCCTGTCGGTAGAGAGTTCCACCCGATCCCAGCGCTGTTACCACTCTGTTCTTGTCGTGACGAGCACACAGAATGAGAGAGCAGCGTACCGTTCAGCGAGGTGAGCTCGTCGTGCAGCTTGTCCAGAAGGTACACCAGAAACTCTTGCGCGTCCTGGTGGTGGTGGTGGTGAGCAACAATGAACGCGGGCCGGGGCCGTGTGTACGAGACAAAAGTTACTGGGATGGCATGGCCTACCTGCTGCTGGTAATTCCTGAACCGAGGGACGAACTTCCAAAGCGCGTCCAACAGAGCGAACGGAGTCACCACCGCCCAGCGGCCGGACCACACTACCCGGAAAATGTTGTGGATCTCGGCTGATATCGAGCTGGTGGGTGACGAGGTGGAAACAAAAGAGAGAGAGAGAGAGAAAGAGGGTGAGGTGGGCGGACTCGCGCAGGGAATGGCGCCTACACTCAAAAGGAAATNGGGGTCTGGGCTCCTCTCTACCTGAGCGACGGCCCGTCCATGTCCAAGTCGGCCAGCAAGCCCTTCCGCCTCTTGGCCCTGCGCTTCGGTGGTGGAGGAGTGGCAAAGACTGGAGCGGGCGCATCCTCTTCGCCCACGACTCCCTCCTGGTGCAGCGTCTCCTCTTTATCGTTGTTCTGCTTCCGCTCTGCTTCTCCCTCGTCTTCTGCCTCCCCGCTGTGTGGCTCCTGCTCCTCCTTGGCATCCCGTTCAAGTTCATGCTTCTTCTTCATCTCCTCGCTTCCTCTTGTTGCTCGTCTTCGCGTCGTCGTTGCTGTCCTCGCTCTCTTCCTCCGACGGTTCACCGCTGCGCCCGTCTGCATCTTCTTCTTCTTCCTCTTCGTCGTCGTCGTTGTACTCTGTCGCCTTCGTGCCGGCGTCATGGGCTCCCTCGCTGGCTGTGGGCGG